TTGGGATGTGGGAAGAAACCAGAGGATCCAGAGAAAACCTGTGCAGACAAGTGGAGGACATGCAAACTCCACACAGACAGTGGCCCCAGCTGGGAGTCAATGTTTTTGTTTTGTTTTGTTTTTTTCTCATCAATGTTTTAACAAAACAACGTTGAACAAAATGACATTAGGACAAAAGGACCTACTGGCCCACAAACTGAGTGGCTTAAAAAAGTAGAAATGTATTCTTGCCCAGTTCGGAAGGCAAAAAGTCTGAAATCAAAATGCCAGTAGGAAAGAATTTGAAGTCTTTAGGGAAGGATGCTTTCCTGCCTTTTCTAGTTTCTAGTGGTTGCTAGCAACCATTGGCATTCCTTGGCTTGTAGCTTCATCACTCCAATCCCCATCGTCACATGACCTTCTTCCATCTATGTCTGGCATCTCCAGATCTCTGTGTTTTTACCTGGCCTCATAAAGATACCAGTCACTGGATTTAGGGCCTACCCTAATGTAGTATGACCACCTCTTCACTTGATTACATCAGCAAAGACCCTCATTCCAAGTAAGATCAAAGTCACAGGTACCAGGAGCTTGGATAGTTATGTTGGGGCAACGCAATTCAACCCAAAACTTGGACAATGGGAAAAACAGGTATAATCAGGACTCTCCTGGGAAATTGGGAGGCCTGGTTACTGTATCTTTATAATGCCAGCTTTAACCAAAGTTCAAGCTCACCCTCAAGGAGGATTGGTCAATACATCTGTCAGAGGGAGGCTTTGTTTGAATATGCACCTTTTCTGCAGTGCTTTCTCTGACCTCCTGTCCACTTTGCATGTGCTCTCCATAATGGAAGGCAAAGCCCCGAATTGTCATGATGTCTTGTACATCTGTGTCTCCAACAGACTATGAGGTCTCTAAGGACAGAGGGTGGGTGTTTTTCATCTTTGCCAAGCCCAGGAGCAAGCACATCGTAGGCACACAGTGAACACATATTGGACAGATAGCTGGGTGGCCAAGACAATCCATTCTGAAACATCAGTTTGAATTTGTTCTTCTTTATCTTTCTTTACGTCCTACCAGTACCAGCCCAACCCCAAACCAGAGAATTAAGTGCATTAATATTCATTATTCCAGCACCCCCACCCCCACCCATTGTTTTCTGCAATAGCTTCTTAGCCTGCAGTCAAATGAGCTCAAGGAAAATGATGTGACTTGGCTTAGGAAATATATTCCTCTGGCTGCCAGAATGGATTTAGCAGACTCCGAGCTCAGTTCGTCACTCCTTCTACGACTGCCTCCGTGCGCACAAAGGGCTTTGACAGTCTCTGAGTTATGAGGGGCCATTCCAAGGCTGTGATGGATTTGATTGTTTTATGCACTGACTTAAGATCTCATTTCCTGCCACATTCGCAAGTGCTTTCTGGGCTGCTGCAGGGAACCCCTCCGTTGGTTTTGTGCTGCCCTCTCCCCCACCCAGTTCAGAGTTCTGAGTCTCCTACCTGAGCAAAAGCTTCAAAAAGATCAAATGATTTAAGAGTTGCCAAAGGTGGGTGCTATATCTCTCAGGCAACCTTCCTGTATTTTTTTCTTACTCCTATTCTTTTTTTTTGGTTGAGTCTCCCTGAAATATTCTGCAAAAGATGTGAAATCGAAGAATAGACAACTCTATTAGGCATAGAACAAGCTGACATCCACAAACCACTGCAGACTGGTTTGCAAAAGAAAAGAAACATTCTTTGCTGGAGTGTCTGGTTGCAAGAAGGCAAACTCATTTTAGTGGTCCCAATCTTTGGGGAATCATTTGATTGTTTATCTGACAGTTTCTTGGCATCTATCAAAATATTTCACCATCATGGAGACAGGCCGTCTTCAGTTTGGTCAAAGCAACATTTTCACCCAATTTAGAGTCAACTACATTTATACTCTCCCAAGTGATGCTTCTTTTCTCATCTGCATGTAGTTTCCATGAGGGTAGGGTCCAAGAAAGCTTTGTTTGCTGCTGACCTGATGAGATTGAGTTCAAGCCCTGGTTATAGTTAATCTTTTACATATGCTTTGGGGAGAAAATGCTTAGAGTCCATAACTGGGAGCGGGGGGAGGGTTAGACACAGAAAGGAGAGAGGACACCTGTTTACCTCAAACAGAAGTTAAGAAGGCAAGTTGGGTGTAGAGTAGTCATCCTCCAAGTGGGAGCCCCAGAGCAGCAGCACTGGCATCACCTGTGAATTCATCGGAAATGAAAATTCTTGGTCCATGACAAACCTAGTGAATCAGAAACTCCGGGGATGGGGACCAGCCACTTGGGTGTTAACAAACCTCCCAAGGGATGCCGACACACACTGAAGTTTGACAACTCCTGGTAGACAAAGACTGTATGCAAGGATGCAAGTCTATATGCTGAGAGCAAGGAAGGCAGCTCTTAAATTTGCTTCCACAATTTAGAGACAAGAGGTTGCACAATGTGTCACGGAGACAAATGACGGTTTAGAACACTCACAAGGAGACATACAGGAAGTTTTGAGTGAATGTGGGGGTGCACCATTCCACCTAGTGGCCAGAGGAAAATGGCTTTTAAGTGTCACAACCATGATGAATCTGTTGAAAGTAGATAAAATATGCTGTAAAATGGGAGTTATGAGTCCATTTGTCTTTGGGGAATGATAAAAAATTATTTTTATTCATCAATGCAAAACATTAAAATGTATCACCTACAACCCCCAAATAAACCAAACCCCTTTCTCAACCCTTTCATCTCATCCCACCTCTTCCTGCCCCCCAAATACCTTCACCCTCTGCCAATGGGGATTGATGGGAAAGAACTGAAAAAGACACAGTTACAATAATCTCAAAGCCCAGATGTCTAGTGGAATTGGAATTACACATTCATGAAGACAGCCATTTGTACACATCCGTGATTTGTCCTTTAGGAGGACTTAGAGACGCAGGAGTAGGAGCAGAGTGAGCCATGGCTGGGCTGGTCCAGAGCTGGGGGGGCGGGGGGGAGAGGGCGCAAGGGTGCAGCAGGCAGGACCCCAGGCCTGGGGAGAGGAAAGTGAGGTGCTGAGATGACCTGGTTACAGACCTAAGCTGAGTGGCCTTTAGAGCAGAGGAGGAGACAATGCCCTGGGGAATCTGTATCTGGCTCTCCAAAGTGTGGCTGTGTGTTATCTGAGACTGGGGAAGTAGTGGCAGAGAGGTCAGGTCACCCTGAGTGCTCTTGCTGTGACTTTCCTCAATATGTGTTCAAGAGTCACCTCCCTTGTGTTTCTTTGGTGCCAGGCCCTACATCAGGAACTGGCCATTTGACAGGAAGGGGTGCTATGCCACTTACCAATAGCATGGCTACGCTAGCTCTCTCAGGAAGACAGTTCACTTGCAGTCAACTCTCTCTTCCACCCAATGGAACTTCGTGACACCTCCTGGTACCCTGAGTGCCACTAACCAGCACTAATTTCCAGGAAAGATGCTGAAGTAAGAAACACACCCGGAGTCTTCCCCTGGCCTCTCCTGGGTGGGTGAGCAGCACACTCTCCGGCACTAGAGCAGCACGATGACAAGTCTGCTCTGCTGGTGACAAGTCCACTCTGTAGGTTGAGAGTGCTGGGTTTGAATCCCAGCCCCACCTCTTACCAGCTCTGCAGCCTTGAGCTCCGTGGCTCTCAGCTGTTCCCCTCTCATCTGCAAACTGGGGGTAGTGATGAGGATTAAACCTACAAACCCATGTAAAATGCAGAGGCCGGAAGCCAGTAAGCACTCGCAAATGCCATCACTATTATCCCTACTGAGGAAAAGAAAAATCGCATTTCCAATCTCTCAGCTAGCACTGTCCACACTCCGTGGAACCCCCGCCCCTCCTCTGCTGCCTCCCTTCTCACTCACCCCGGGCCCTCCCACAACCCCTCCGCCTTCCTTAGCTCTCTACTCTGCCTGCTCTCCAAAAATGTTCTCCAGAAATGCACCTGGATCCAGAGAGGAGCAGCACAAGTCCTTCTGTGCTCTGGAGAGTGACTGAATCTGGACATTTCCAGAAAAATGCTCTAACCAGCTCCAGCAACCACTCTAGGAAGAAGGTCTGGGGAGGGCCACCCTCAGTCACATCCGCAGCACACCTTAAAATTTCCAGACCAAGTGGACCGCCATGCAGCTAGTAAGCACTTACTGGCACTAAGTTACTGACTCTGCCCTCCCGGGCTTGGTGATGTGCTTTGGGGCTTCCTGCTCCATGACATACTCAGCTATGCCACAGGGAATCATGTCCAGAAAATGGCCTGGGCCTGTGTTCTGTGTAATGTCTATCCTCTAAGGTAAAGCCTCCTGGACTTCTGGGACATTATTGGTGACGTCCCCCAGCTTCTGTCTCTGCTCATGAACGAAGATGCTTCCCATGGGAATGGAAAGAGAAGGCGTCACAGAAATGGTGACTTTAGAGCTGGATGCTCAGTGGGAAACTGGGAGAGGTGAATCCGGGCAGCGGGAGCACACTGTTTAGGCGCCCTGAATAGCTGGGAAGGAGGGGGAGCATTGGGCCGAGACTGAATCACTGGAAGTGGGACTGGCTGGCTGCACAGAAAGGATAGAATCTGGGCGATGGGAGCCAGTGAATGGTGAAAACGTGCAGGGGGAATCAGACTTGAATAAACATCATTCCTGCACTTGAGTCTTGTCAGCAAATCAAGCAGCTATATTGCATTTAGGTATACATATATTTTTGGTTGCTCTGGCCCTTCCGACCTGCTGGGAAGTTTGCAGCCCAGGGACCAAAGTCAAATTGTCCCCCAAAGAGGCGAGTACTCGGGGTCACCCCAACACCAGCAGGGGTGTAGCCTCTTCTCGATGCTTATTCTCATCCCCATGCTTATTCTCATCCCCTGGCACTAGCATTTTCATGAAGAAATGTGTAGTCTGCCAACTTCATTGTCATTTATCCCTGGACAATTTGTTAACTTCAAGAATCCTTGAATGCCAACCTGGATGTCTTTATAATTGCTGTCTCTGTCAGAGCCTGTGTGAAAAATGTCACCGGGAGAATGAAGTCAGAAAGGCGAAGTTGCAGCGCGTTCCTCACGAAGGTGACAACGACTGAAAGCATTACTTGCTTTCAGGACAGTTTTGAGAACATTTCCAGCTCCTGAAAGAAAAGACGTTTGTAAAATTGGAAAAGCTAGCCTGCTGACATTGACAGAGAATTCATAATGCGCATGTTAATCTAAGGAGAGGAGCAGGCACACACACCCCAGAGGAAGGTTCGAGAACCAGTCAGAAAAGCCTTTAATCAAAGGCACAAAACTTGGAAGACTTTTGTTAGACACCAAAAAAAAAAAAAACGGTGGGTTTTTCCCCATCTCTAGAATATGCAGATATAAGTAAAATGAGCATCCTATTAGAGCAAATGCCACTACCTAATTCCACATTCGGGGACAAGTTCTTTTCTTTTAGGGGTTTTAGTTTCCTAGTCTATAGAGGGAGAATTAAAAATAAGTTTCTCTGAGTGCCCCCACTAGTCTATGTACCCTACAGAGCTTGCCTGCATTTACAGTTATCTTCCTTTATGAAGACCATTAGAGTGCAAACCCTCAACGCTACTTGAATAGCTTCAATGGTGGGTGCCTCCCCATCTGCTAAAACAGGAGTTGACCAAGGATAGCCCTTGGGCCAAATCCTACCTGTTGCCTGTTTTTGTAAGCTAAGTTTTATTGACGTCCACTTGCTCATTGTCTATGGCTCCTTTCACACTATAATGGCAGAATTGTGTGGTGACAGAGACCCAGTAGCCCACAAAGAAGCTGAGAATATTTATCTAGTACTTTACAGAATAAGTTTGCATGTGCTAAAACAACCTCTTGACTCTCTCGAGCACTCTAAATATTAACCCTTCCTTCACTAAAAGCTTCATTCTCTGGTCAAACCTGGTAGGTGCAAGAAATGCTCTAGCATGTTACCCGTTATTCAACACATGGTTCTCCTTTGTCACACTCTGGAAAGATGAATCCTGTCCCAAGAAAGAGCTTCCTTGTGTTTATCAGAAATTTGCCCACTCGTGACTACTACCCTTTAGGCTCATCTCTGCCCCTGAGGGTCCCAGAGGTCAGTTCTTCCGCAAGGCAGCTCTCTGGACAAAAAATTAGCTGGTAAAGAACTCTAGGAGAAGCCATCCCGATCTCTTCAAGATTTTCTCCTGTGCTATCATGAGTAATTCTTCTTCTCTCCATAACCTGCCTCTGGACACTTCACAGTTTCTCTGTGCCACTTGTACTGTGGATTCTAACCCTGAGCAGGAGGACCCAGGTGTCCTGGGACTTCTGGACATTTTCTTCTGAGACTGAGTCCATGCAGGGGCCACTTCATACCACTGACATCAGCTCCACTCTGAACGTTTCCCTTATGTGCTGCTAACGTGGAGCCACATCCTTCTAGCTTCCTAGAGTGTAGTCAGGTTTTAGGTCAATGTTTACATTTAAAATGCAAAATGTAATTTTGTATTATTATCTACCCAGTTAGATTTGGATGTGGATATTGTACACACTCTACCCAAATCAGTCCTAGAATTGTGTTTACATTTATGCTTAATAATTGATACTTACTCCGTCCACAACAGCTAGTCATGCAGAACAGTCAACAGTGTTCTGAATTAACTATGACTTGCTGTGCCCCTAATCACAAATGCGTTTCCTTTTCTGCCCAGTGAATTTCTCTTACCTGTCCTTCATGCATCACATCCTCCAGGAAGCCTTCCTCAACTCCTCGGTCAAGGTCACGAGCTCCTCTTATGTGTTGCCCAAGCCCTTGAGTTCACCTCTTGCGAGTGTTTATTGTATTCTTTGAGTTTATTCATGGCAGGAATTATATCTTCATCACTGCGTTGCTGATGTCTAGCACAGTGTTTGCACGTCATAGGCACTAGGTGCATTTTATAAATTATTCGTTTTACAAATTAACAACGAATGAGGGATCATTGTGGCACCAGATTGAGAAAGCCCTTAAAGTCCTCTCTGAAGAGGACAGCAGTGGAGAGTGTGGAGAGTTTTTGAGTGGATTCGAGAAATCACGTACCATGACGGGTCAAATACTACAGTTGAAGCTGTTATAAGAGGATGCATATATTGAAGGGGCAAAGATTAGAGGCAGTTAATTCAAGAGCAAGGTGACTGAGGCCCAACAATAACAATGGCACTGAAGAAAGGAGAACAGAATTAGAGTGACAACCTGTGTGCAGAACAGGTAGCACTGGGTGTGACTTGAATCGGGAGGGTGATGGCAACAGATTCCTCCTGAATGACTCAATCCCATCTAGAGTCAAGTTACTTATTGAAGAAGAGCCTAAAAGCACTTTGCTGTGTTTATCTATTGTGTAAATAAGTAGCTTATTCTTAAACCTGGATGATAACACAGAATAACCTCAATGCTTCCAAAATAATATGGATTCTGGGGTCTCACCTAAGATCCACTGAATCAGAATCATTTTAAAGCTTGCAGGTGACTCAGATCAGCTACCAGGTTTCGAACTCCCAGCCTAAATGTCCACTTGGACCATAATGTCCTTCACCTTGTTCTCCTAAGCTTAGGTGGTCATCTTTGCCAAGTTGGGCTGAAAGTAACCTCTCCTTCTATTAACTCTCTATAGCCCTTCTCTTAACTGACTTATAAGATTTATTGATTTCTCTCTTTCAGGATGTATGTTTTATTTGCACACATCTTATCACCTTACCTCTAGCATTTGCAAACAGAGTAATAGTGGACAGTTTACTCAAACTGTCTGAACTCAGTATCCTCATCTGTAAAATGGAGATAAATGATCTCCTCCACATGCATGGAACAGATCAGGTGTTGAATAAACATTTGATCTCTCCACTAGTAGCTAAATGGCAAACACTTTCTAGAGCACAAGCATGTCTTAGGTGGTTATTTTTTATATCTGAATGGAGTCTAGTCCAACAACCTATGCTTACCAGAAGGTGCTCAGGGGATGTTAACTAATCAAGGAAGGATGGAATTAATCAATCAGTAGATGAAGAATAAATGAATGAATGAAAATATTGATCAATAGTAACAAAAAGTTGACTTTTGATAAATGACACCTCTGATTGTCTACAAATGACCATCTCTGAGTATTTCTACCTGGCTGCACATCATCATTTTCTAGGGATCCTTCACAAATTCAGTCGCCTAAGTTTCACCCCAGATCAAAAACCTGGTGGTTGGGGCCCAAAAACCTGAACTGTACGAGTTCTCTCATTGGTTCTCTGATACACAGCCCATCTGGGGAAACCATTGCTTTAGAGAACCAGTAAGAGGCCACATTGCTTCGTTTAAAGTAAAGAGATACATTTTCTTGTTCTACAGTAGTTATTGAAAGTTTAATTCTAATTGATTGTTCAAAACACATCCATTAAAGTCCAACATCTGTTTAATAGGTATATCCTATTACACTCTTGTACTTAGGGCCACAGTCAAGACCTGACATAATCAGAGATACAGTTTAAACAAACTAATTATGTAAGGGCACACAGGGGCTGAGCTGAGCAGGGTTCTTTGAACACAACATATGCCTTTAATCAAAACCAGGCATCAGGCAAAAACAAGATACCCCAAGCTGGAACCATGTGGCACATTGATCCTATAGCAGATGTTCCTCGGGCCAGCCCAGTCCAGGCACTCCCTGAATAAATACTGCTGCTCCTACATCATCACCCTAAAAATTCCACATTTCTGAGACCAGGCTGAGCCAACTGTGGTTGATGGATGATAGAAGAAGCAAAGGATCTGGCAGACAAGTCCCTCTGCATGCGTTTCTCCACGGGACTGTTCTGAAGCATGGGTGCTTCTAACCAGAGATCCTGTACACAGCAGAATGACTGGTTCTGACTCTTCACAAAATGGTGATCACATGGATATTTGCTTCCTTTTTCCCAGCCTCACTCTCCTTTTCCCTCACTCTAACTGCCTCAGGATTACACCTTGCAATAAAAAAATCAGCATTTAAGCCTTCTCCCATCTTCTGTATCTAAGGTATCCACACTAAGAATCCAACTGCTGGGTGCTTTTCTGTGTCCTTTATACACAATATAAACACATGTCCTTTTGACTTGAATGTTTATATTCTTAACCACTACACACAATTCTATTTTCCAAATGGTGACAGAACGTTCTGGTTACCATTAAAAATAGTGAGAATTGCTGGCAGAATTCTCCCAGCACACTCACTTACATAATCTAAAGCACACAGACTTAAATCAGCCCGGTTAAGCCTGGTCTGGAAGGGAGATATTTTCTGTTTCATGGCCTTTGCTCACTTTGACCAGGACTGCAGTTGTCAAGTGGGTCCAGTTCCACCAGGCATCGATTCACATACGTGTCCACTGCTCTGCTCCACCAAGAGTTCCTGGAGGGGATAAATATCTTTTATTTATCTTTGTCTTCCTGGAGTTTATTATAGATTAGTAGGCAATTGTCTTAGAGTCTATTCCTATATTTTATAACAAAATATCTTAGACTGATTAATTTATAAACAGTAGAAAATTATTTTTTATAGTTATGTAGGCTAGAAAGTCCAAAATCAAGGAGGCAGCAGATTCATTGTCTGGTGAAGTCTTGCCCTCTGCTTTCGTACATGGCAAAAGGCACTCACGTGTTCCCCCAAGCCCTCCTGTTCATGGCCTCATAACCTCCCAAGACTCTACCTCTTCATAAGATCACCTTGGGGGGTAGATTTCAACATACAAATTTTGAAGGAACACACACATTTAGGCCACAGCATCGCTAAATAAATGCTTGAAGAACGAACTGAACAATGAATGGATATATTATTTTAGAAAAGGTACTTTAACTTTGGTGATTATATCTGTAACATGATAATTAGTTGAAAATGAACCAACTACAAAATTGAATGTTTTCAAAAAATCTATTATATGTAGAACTTAACTGTGGGCTCACATAAGTGTATCTACCTTTCAATGGGCAAGAGCCACACTAGCTAGCCAGGCGTGGAGCAAGTGAACCTGAGCACCCCGCCCAGGATGGAATGGAACGATTGATGTCACTTACCAAGCTCCTTATTAAAAATTGCACCAGGTTCAGAGTCAGTTTCAAAATGCTTCTGATGTTTTTGAGAGTAATTGACTTTGAAGTAGGGCAGGATCTCAAAAGTTCATCTACTACTCAAAACTCTTTAATGTGAAAGCATATCTTGTGTGGTGATATTAAAAGTGACCCCTGGCTGCAGCTGCTTGAGGGTTTGCCTCTCCCACATGCTGTCTCCACTCCCTCTTTGGTCTTTAAGCTCCTCTGTGATGGACTCGCCCTCAACAGGCCTCCTGCCCTGCCATGTTTCCTGCTGCTTCCTGGCACTCACCTGACTTCTACAAGGCCTTTCTCTAACTGTTTTCTCTCCCACATCTGCCGTGGATAGATGCTGTTGCTCTGACCTAGAAGGACCTCCACCTTCCTCTTCTCATTCCAAGACTCATGCTAGAGCCCAGCTCTAGGCTCGTCTTCTCCAACATTCCTTTATTGACTTATTTCACATTTACAGTGATTACATATTCAGAACTCACATAATTTCCCCAGGGAAAATCACATAATATGTGAATGCAGACCTGTAAGCATCTTTTTTCATTTGGTGTCTGATTCCAAAGGACCCTTCAGTGTTTTGTTTTGGTCCGTTGGTTTTGGTTTAGCTCTTCTTCCAGTTAGGCATACTTAATTTAGCTAGCACGCTTGTTAATTGCTGCTGTGTACTTGGAACTGTGCTTCATGCTATGAGAGTTATGATAGAGGAAAATTAGGAAAAATCACACAGCAGTTCTTGACACACAGCCACCTCCCACGTATAACCACACAGTAGATTCGCCAGGACTCCAGCTCTCAAAGTCCCTTCTCTCTTCCAAGTGACTCAGTAGTAAGGCAAAATTGTCTTCCCAGTTATGATATGATGACAAGTTGGCTAATTTTCTAAGTAAACACCAGATAGTATTATGTAACGAAAGATCTGGGAAAGTATGGCGAAAGCCTAGTCTAAATGTTCATGCCTAGAACTCCAAATATCAACTACGATTGTTGGAAGACCTATTTGAAGGGAGAAATGCAAAGATGTGAGATATCGGGAAAATCACTCACCTTCTCTAAAACTTAATTTTACTACTTGTACAATGGAAACAACAATAATAGTACCACTTTCCTTCAAGTGTTTCACAAGTTTGTTGTGAGGAAAAACTTAAGACAATGCGTGGCCAAATGTTTGATAAATTTCAAAAGTTCTAAGCAGATGAAAGTTATTACATCACACCTAGAGTTTAGAGAGACAATTAGGCACCCATATTATACAATAGGTTCAACTGTGATTAATTCATTCACTTTGGAAACTCTAAGAATTAATAACCATTTGCCATACATTCATTATGATCACATTAATCATTATAATTGATTGGTTAATTAGCTAATTATGATTATAATGTAGATGTCATATGCATTTCCATACACATTCTTTGGTAATTCAACATTAATTAATTCCTGACCTTATCTTGATGCTAAACAGATCAAGGGAGCAACCCCCTAGCATTATTTTGATCAAAAGAGGACTTCACAGACAAAGGTAATGAAGCAGGCACCAGGATTTTCTGAACATGGGGCTTTAGCTCAAGAACAGTAAAAAATTTTGAAAAGTCAAAAGCTTAGCGTCTTTTTTTGCAAGTAGTTTTAAGTTTGTCTCACTCCCTCTTTGTACAAGACCTGTGCAGAAAACACAGGTTCATTTCTACTGCCCTTGCTCCTCAGAGCAAGATTTTCCTGAAAAAGAGGGACAGTGATATAGTTTGTATATTTGTCCCGCCCAAGTCTCTGGTTGAAATTTGATCCCCAATGTTGGAGGTAGGGCATCATGGGAGGTGCATGATGGTGGGTCCTTGGTCAAATGGAAGAGGGATGCTCCAGCCTCTTCCTCCAAGAATCTTGCAATTCTCCGGAAGCCTCAAGAGCTGCTCAAGAAACATATAAATTCAATAAAGCATATTTTAAAAGATATTTGGAAAAATAAATTCTTATTTTTGTTATTTGTTTATTTCCTTGTTTTTTTTATTGTCTGTAGAGTTGTGAATATTATAGAAAGGAATTTAAGGGACTTCAGAAGTAGCTTTTGAATCAGAAAAAAATACATCAGTTGTTTGCTATGGTGAATCGAACAAAATACCTTACTCCAGAAACCCTCAAAATTTGGAGGTTGGCTAAATTTAAATTAATTGAAAGCTTGCAAGTACAGCAAAGAAAGCAATTACATATATGTTTTATGAACCCATTAATTGATGTCTTAAACTTCTGGGTATGTGTTTTGCTAAAAGTGACACATGCTTAAAATACAGAAAGTTGAACGAATGAAAATTTTGGTATTCTGGTTTTCTTAGTTGGTAAAATCAGCTTAGGCATCCTCACTATGAAGTCAGTCTCTTCCCAGATTGTGTGGGTGCCATGTTGTGTGGAATTCCATGCCTTTGGATCAAGCATTATGTAAGTCCCTGCGCAGTGGTGCTGGCTGAAGCCGTGTAGTCAGGAAAAACAAACCCATGCTTAGAGGTGTCTATCTTCACAAAGACTACATGCTGATCTTTCCAAGATGAAAGGGGCCACACGGAGTCAACTTGCTGCCAAATGACTGGTTGATCCTCCAAGAAATAGTGCTACACTGTGGGCTCAGCGTTGGTTGCAGTTGCTGACAAGTTGGGCATGACGTCCAGAGGCAGCAGTATCTACGTTGGCCTGGGTAAGTGGAAGTCCATGCCATTGGGTATGGTCACCTCCATCAGTACCATGGCCACTCCATCCATGTGCCCTTGTATCAGCTCTGTGGTGACCCATAATAAAAGCTGCCTGATGTCCACCTGCTGAGCCATCCAGCTACTTGGCTGTTGGGCACCTCTTTCATGGCAATGCTTTCTGGTGAGATGAAGTGTGACAAAACAGTCTTCACCTTCCTGCCCATTCCCACATATCTATCCACTTGCCTCTGTCCCCAACTTCCTTGTCTTAAATCTTCCAGTCCTTTTCCTTTGAAGCCCCTGACCAGATATGGCCAGGCCATTGGTCACTGCCTCAGAATGGAGATGTATTCTCACCTTGGGATACTTCTCTTTGCACACAAAGTAGATGACGGGATAACTGTGTTAGGAGCTAAATTGTGTTCCCCCGAAAATTCATATGTTGAAGTCCCAATGCCCAGTACCGCAGAATGTAGTCATATCTGAAGATAAGGTCTTTAACAAGGTAATTAAGTTAAAATGAGGTCTTTAGGGTGTTCCCTAGTCCAATATGACTGCTGTCCTCATAAGAAGAGAAAATCTGGACGTTAAGAGAGACGCCAGGGATGTGCACACAGCGGGAAAACAACATGAGGGCAGAGCGAGGAGGCAGCCATCTGTCAGCCAAGGAGAGAGGCCGCAGAAGAAAGCAGACCTGCCAACGCCACACCTTGCTCTTGGACGTAGAGCCTACAGGACTATGAGAAAATAAATTTCTGTTATTTATGCCACCCACTGTGTGGCATTTTGTTGTGGCAGCCCTGGAATATTAATACAAACTGCTTTAAGTTCCTACAACTGGGAAATTTCCTTTCTCTTTCTACTGTCTGTGTAGGCATCATTCCCTTGATATTGTTCCAATGTCTAGGTCATCGCACTGCACAGGTTTTGCCACTGGAGATCTTCAGCGGTCAGGCTGCCAGACTTGTTCCAGAGACTGTCTCTGCCCCCATGACATCCTATTTGCCAGCTGGAGAGCGAGTGAGGCAGTCCCCAGGCCTCCTCCCGCTGCCTGGTACTGCTGGTGTTCATTCACCTTCTCTGGAAAGGCAGAAAAAGCAGGGTACTGGAGGGAGCAGGAGAGTCCTGATGCCTGTGAAGGAGAGGGAAGAAAAGGCAGGAGGATGGAGGGAAGACTCTCAGACTGAGCACAGTTCTGAGAAAGTCCAGGCTGGTCTGGTGACAGCTCCTCAAACCAAGTCGCCTATGAAAGGAGTCCTGAGTCTTGCAGAGGTGAACCTGCCTCTGTCTCCCTACTGTGCTCAGTCACTGGCATCACATGGGGTACCCCCATGGCCTAGGTGCCAACATGGAGGTGGACCCAGAAGGGCAGCTGCTAAGGTCACCCATCAATTATGTCCCCTGCAGCAGGGGCTCTGAGCACCCCATCACTTTTATGGCCACCACAAGGGCAGCAAAGAGGTATTGATAAAGTGCCACAATAGTATCATAACTGGGAGGACACTAATGGCACCATATCCAAATGACATTGATCACTAAGTCTTGGTAAGATTTAGAGCAAGGTCTTGATTCTTGTGTGGCAGCAAAGGAGCAGGGCGAGACATGAGGATGACTCCTTTGAAACGTCTCTTCCTTTGTTCTTCTATCAGCTACAATCGGCTGTTTGGCAGGAAGAACAGAGAGAGAGAAAATGGAGGAGAATGAATCATCGAACTCACTTCTAGCTCAGGGAAACGTTTTATTGGATTTGTTTCTCTTTGATGCAGATTAAGCCCATGGGTAGAGCCGCCAGTGAGCGAAGGTGTGGGCTGGGGGAGGGGAAATGGTCTCTCTATGGTTGCTGTGGCCGTGTCTGTAATTTATTATTAACTATCTCTCTGTGCCATAGTCTATCAGACCCTTCCAGGGGGTCAATTCCTGGGGCCAGGACTGTGGTTCATCTAGGCAGATCAGAGGGAACGTTTTATATACTCGCTTCTTTCCTTAAATGTAGCATGGCTCAACCGAGCCCAAGGCAGAAAAAGTTTGCTTGACCTTGATGGAAACAGGGAACTTTGGGCGAACTTGGAGTTAGACTACTGGCCACATCCACTTTTCATCTGACAAGTTGGCAAGATCTTGGTAGAACAGCCAATTCGTATCTTTGATGCCATGACCTTGTTCTAAGAACCTAATAAACATTTTTTTTTAAATGCTGATCGTCTAAGTGTTCCAGGTGTAGTGTTATGTGTTACGCTCCCTGAGCGCATCAATCTTTCTTTCTGCCAAGGGTCTTGTGTGCCCAGTGCTGTCCCAAGTGCTGGAAACACAACCGTGCACAGAACAGACAAGACCCCTCTGCTTGGCGGCAGGAAGGTAAGGAGTGGGACAGACCAACAGTATCAAACTAAAACTAAAACTAAAATGCCAGATCATGTCAGATCATGTTACGTGCCATAAGGGGAATGAAAGAATTAGAAATGACTTGCATTATAAAACTTAATCTCAAAGCGTCCCTTTAGGCAGTTGCTGATTTTTCCATGTTATTGATGAGGGGAAGGATATTCAGAGAAAGGTTAACTTGCCCAAGTTCCAATAGCTGCTACATGACAAGAACAATAATTTGAACCCAGACCAGTATTGGAGCTAATATGCCAGCCTGACTTATGCCAAGATAGAGTTAAAACGTCTCAGCTAAGCCCCCCGTTGCCATGCGAGTCCCTTCTCCGTGGTCCTTCCCCTGCGCTGTATGTCACAACCAGATGACTTTCTCACAATTTCTTAGAGTCCCAGCGTCTCTTGCCCCAAGTTCTGTGCACAGTCTGGCCAAGAGGTTTCTCAAGTGGAAAACGTTTCTGGGATATATATCGTTGAACCCAATTCGCTAAAATTTTGTTCAGAATTTTAAAAATCTATATTAATGAGGGAGGTTGGGATGTAGTTTCTTTTCTTATAATGTCCTTGTCTGGTTTCGGTGTCAGAGTAATGCTGGCCTCATAAAATTGGTTGAGAAGTGTATCCCTTCCTCTTTACTTCTCTGGAGTAGGCGACTTGAGGTTGTCCCACAGCTCAATGATGCTTCTGTATTGCTTCTTAATTCTCTTTACTCTGTATGTTTCACTTTGGAGAGTTTCTATTGCTATGTCTGAATGCTCACTAATATTTTCGTCTGTAGTATCTTATCTACTCTCAATCCCATCCAGTGTGTTTTCAACCCACAGCATATAGTTTCTGTCTCTAGAATCCCCATTTGGTTCATTTCTTTACTCTTTCATTCTTCTACTTATCTTTGTAAACATATGGAATACAGCTATCATAACAGCTTTAAATATTTTGGCTCATTTAAACATGTGCCAGTTCTGGTTTGGCTTTAGTTGATTGATTTTTATCCTAGTCATGCATCTTATTTTTCTACTTTGTATGCCTGGTAATCTTTGATTTGATGTATGACATTGTCAACTTTACATTATTGGGTGCTGGAGATTTTTATATTCCTATAAATATTCTTTAGCTTTGTTCTCAGATATAGTTAGGTTACTTAGAAACAATCTGGGCCTTTGGGATCTTGCTTCTAAGACGTGATAGGCAAGATCAGAGCAGCAATCATTATGGGGCTAAATATTCCCCACTACTGAGGCAAGAGCCTTTTGTGTGCTTTACGTAAGGCTCCGTGAAGCATGAGGTTTTCCAGTCTGCCTGGTGGGAGCAGACACTATTCCCAACCCTGTGTGAGTGCAGGGTACTCATAACTCTAGAACTCTCCTTCACCTGCATGTAATGATCACTACCAGCTGAATGCTTGAAGGGGAGCCCTCTGCGGATATTCAGGGTTTTCTCTCCCTAGCTCATGCCTCTCCAGTGCTCTGTTCTGCGAATTCCAGCTGCCTTTGTCTTCCTAGATTCTCAGTTCTGTCTCCTGGGTGTGGGGAGCCCTCTAGGCTCCACTTGGATTTCTCTGCCCTGCCCTGCAGCCTGGTGATTTCTTTTATATTCCCTTTCAGTATTCTTCAGCTTTGTCTTGGAATGAAGTTAAATTTCTTGGAAATAGTTTAGTCCTATTGGCTCTTACTCCTAAGAACTGTTAGGCATGATCAAAGCAGTACTTATTATGTATTCCCTAGACAGGAATGTATTCCCTAGACAGGAAGCCAGGGCAATCTTAAGTGCACCTCATTTGTTACTGCCTCTCAGGGATTACTGACACTTGTTCCCTGTTTTCCAGGTCTTGAAAGCCATGACTTGGTATATCTTGTTGGTTTTCTTGTGGGTGTTTGTTAGTTTCTTTATTTGTTTCTTTGGTTGCATTTTAGTAGGGAAGATAAATACATCCCCTGATACAACATCTTGGCCCAAAGCAGAAATTTCCTGTCAAGAAAGAAAAGAAAGAAAGAAAGAAAGAAAGAAAGAAAGAAAGAAAGAAAGAAAGAAAGAAAGAAAGAAAGAAAGAAAGAAAGAAAGAAAGAAAGAAAGACTGGCCCCAAAGCTTTGCAAGACAAGCATATATGACTAGAATTAATAACTTTGTTTCATTTGCTTTGTATTTATTTTATGGTTAATTTATTTAAAACAATCAATTTTACTTTTCCATTAATGGCAATATCAAAAAGTTCGGCAGCACAGGTGGTGCTTGTTTCTCCATTCCTGTGATACTTGACTTGGTAGAATGGAGAGGGTGGGTATATTCACTAATGGGTGTGGTGCACACTATCTGGGGTATGGACACACTTGAAGCTCTGATTCAGGCAGGGCAAAGGCAATATACATAACCTAAACATTTGTACGCCCATAATATGCTGAAATAAAACAAATAAAAATAAAGTTCCGTAGTTAAATGAATTCGTTTAAATTTAAAAAGTAAATTAAAGAAAATAGTAAATAAACAAGTACTAAACAGAGAAAGCAAATAATTCAACACTAGGGAAATGAGGGAATGACTGAAGTTAGGGGAACACTGATCTGATTGTACCGAGTTTTCCAACCTGACTTGCCTGATCTCTCTGGCAGTAAATGTCACAACTAGTGATACATCATCCCAGGCATCTGGCTCCTTTGTTTTCCTGTAGACCTGGGCCATCCAATCCAATATCCACTAGCTACATGAGAATATTGAGCACTTGAAATGTGGCTTGTCTGTATTAAGATGTGTTATACATATAAAATATGTACTAGATTTAGAAACAGTGCAGAAAAAAATTTAAAATATCTCATTAATAATGTTTTTATTGAGTGTATGTTGAAAGAGGAATAGTTAGGATATATTGGGTTAAATAAAACATGTCATTAAAATTCATTTCACCCTTTTCTTTATCTTTCTTTTCTAATGTGACTACTAGAAAATCTGACATTATTGATGTGGCTTGCATTTGTGGTTTACATCCTGTTTCTGTTAACACTGACTTTATCTACCTGGGCACCCCAAGTCCCAGCACAAAACCAGACACAGAATAAAATCTTACCAAATACCTGTAGAATATTAGTGATAAAATGAACACTTAGATGAATGGCTTTAACTGGTTCCCAGTTCAAAGAGTGAGTACTGAAGTCCCTGAGACAGCCTGAGTTTTCTCATCCATATGACAAGAACAATGCTAATACATATCTCATAGAGATAAGAGAGATAAAATAAGATAATTTATGGAAAATCATTAACACCGAGCCTGGCTCAATGGACATGCTCGAGAGAAGTTAGCCATGAAGGGAAAAATATCTTCACTTACAATCATGCCATGTGAACAAGGCTATAGCAGCCGTGTACCAAGGATTAAGAGAAAAGGGTTCTTTCCAGTGAGTTTTCTCTGACTTATTATGCAAATGCACTTCATGCACTTCACATGGCTCCTGTATAAGTGCCCCAGCACTGTGGCCTATGACACTCAGCACCCCAAGCCCGTCCCACTTGTCAGTGTTCTGATACTGTGCTACTTATAAGCCAAGAGGTGTGTGCGTGCATGTGCGTGTGTGTGTGTGTGTGTGTGTGTGTGTGTGTGTGTGTGTGTGTGTGTGTGTGGTGTATCAGCAAAACACTTTTTTCCAGGTCTTATCTTATTGCTAAAAATAATGTACTTGTAAATTGCTTTATAAATTATTTACCATGAGGGCCTTCATCACTGAACAAGTGCTAGAGCGTGCTGTGAAAATGGAGGGCCGGGGGATGGCAGTGAAGGAGGGAGAGAAGGAGGCATTGGAATCACTTATAAATAATGTATTCATTGGTCAAAGAAAGTTATCGCCTTTTATGAAGTGTTTGGAATTCGTCTTGCATACTAAGTGGGCGTCCTCTTGCTGACTCGTGGGTGATCTGCTACAGCCTCCTTGCTGCTACGCCTGTGAACCTGGTGATTAGGATGCCATTTATTTATTTCAGCCAAGGCCACAATTGCCACGTCTCATCACCTGGAAATAAACAGCAAACGGGGCTGTCCGGGGCCGTTGAGGAAACGCAAAGGTGTGTTGGCAACTCCGGGGGGAGAGAAGTCTGTGTCCCTGAATTGGGCTCTGCATTTGGTATTCATCGTGTAAGTGCTGCGCCTAATGAAGGCATTTGGTATTCATGTGGATGTCACATGCATTTCCAGAGACACTGGGCTCTAATTTAGCATGGGTTAATGGACACCTCTATTAAAGTGTTATCGGAAGTTTGACATTCAAATAACCCAGCTTAAAAATCAGACAAACCTAGACATTAAATCTGAAGGGGAGAAAATGTAGGAGAAGTCAAGTATATAAATGTCAACTTTAGACAGAGCATTAATCTGCCTGTGAGAGGGACAAATGGTTGATCCAAGTGCTTGTGGCTCTTTCGCCCTCCCTAACCCCTCCCGTGCCTGGGCTTCGGCAGATTCCCTGACCACCACGGGCCAATATCTTGCAATGAGTGGAGGGGAACAGGGAGAGAAGGAAGGGAACAATCATGTTAAATGAAAGGTGTCACTCACCTAAAATCCCAGCCATGCCCTTGGTCCTTCAGCTCTAACCCTTTCTGTAAGCATCTAAAGTACATTTTATTATTCCCATATAAAATGAAATTGAAAGCTCATGGAACTTAAGTGATTCAGAAAGGGTCACACTTCACCAGTAAAGAGTAGGAAAGGATTAGGACACTCACTAAACTTATATTCATTTTCTCTATGGATTAATTTAACAAATATTTGCTAGGTGGTTTCCTTTGTGCCAAATTCACTTACTAGCTGGTTGATGCTACTAGATAAGACAGACTCTTCCTACACCTACTTTGGGAGAAGGTCCAGCAGGTTTTTAAGAAGATAAACTTATACCCAACCTATGACCCACAATTCCATTCCCAGGCATTTACCTAAGATAACAGAATGCAATAATGTGTAATAGAAAGGCCTCTTTATTCATAATAGTCAAAAGAAGAAAATAGTCTAGGTGTGCATCAACAGAAGAACAGATAAACTGTGGTATATCCATGCAATGAAATACTACTCAATGATAAAGGAATGAGCTATTGATATATGCCACAACTTGGAAGAATCTCAAAAGCATTATGCTGAGTGAAAGAAGTTTTACAAAAAAGAATGCATGCTCTATGATTCCAGTTATATAAAATTCCAGAAAAGGAAAAGCGAATCAATGTTGGAATAAATTAAAACAGTAACTGCTTCTTGGGTGAGTAGAGTTGGGGCTTAATTAAGAGGGGGCATAAAGAAATTTGTTGGGTGATAGTAATGTTTTCTATCTTGATAAGGGTTTGAGTTAGACATGCATATGCATTTTTAAAACTCACCAAATTGTACACTTAATACGCATATAGTTTACTACATGTCCATTTTACCCCAAATAAAAAAAAAGAATCATAAATGAATATTGAATTCTGGTTAATAATGCTATATATGCTGAAGTGCTTAGAGATAAAGTGTAGTGGTATCTTCAACTCAGTTTGAAATGCCTTAAGAAACAGGAGGAATGGATGGATGCATGAATGGATGGGCAGAGAAAGGGTTGGATAGAATGGATAAATATGTGATAAAGATAACACAGCAAGACATTTGTTGTATAAGATAGGGGATACATACATGACAGTTTCCTCTACAATCTTTACACCTTTTCTGTACATTTAAAATTTTCCATTGGAACATGTTAAGAAAAAATGTTTTAAAATGACTCTTTCCCTGTGTTGATGTTCTGACAGTAGAGCAGTGAAGATAAAAACATTAAATAAGGTAAACACAGAGATAGGTAAATATATAATTGCTTATTTTGGTGAACATTATGCACAGCAAAGACAAGGCAGAGTGTGAAAGAGTTATTGGGGAAATTTGTTTGGATAGTGATCAAAGACAATCTCTTCTGTGAAGTGATATTTTTGAAAGTGAGACAGGAAGGTGAAAAGAAGGCCATCATAAAATGTGTGCGCACACCCGGGAAGAGGGAGCCTGCCCTAAAGAGAAGATGGCATGGGTGAAGTCCCCAAGATAGGAAAGAGTTTGGCATATGCAAAGAAATGGAAGGAGGCCAGTGGGTAGGTTTGGCCAACACAGGAAAGAGGGGTAAGAAGGGAAAGGAGGCAGAACCAAGCTCAGTTAGTGGTAAAGACTAGTTGTTCTGATCATCCTTGGTATACTCAGAACACACCTAGGGATTGGTGCTCAAAGCTGAATGCTGAAACAACAATAATGATCACCGATAATTATTAAGTGCCTACTATGTGCCAAGCACTGCGTCAAGCACTTTATAGTTGACCTCATTTAAACTTCACATCCCACCAAGCCATATGCTATTTTAAATAAATATATAAATATGCAGGTTTCCCATTTTACACATGAGGAAACTGAGGTTTGAAAGAGAGGGATTAGGTAGCTTGCCTAAGGTCTCATAGCTGCTCCAGAGTGGAGCTGGAACATGAGCCTGAGAGAATAAAGGGCCATAGTCAAACTATCTGAGGAATTCTTGGGGGAACTGGGAAAGTTTAATCTAATCTGCAAGAAGAGAAATCTCCCTGAAGTCACAATTGTCCTCTTTGAGACTTTAAAGCTATCATGGGGAAGAGAAACATTTTCTTGTGCCCTGGAGTCACAAGGATCTGAGTTATCACCAATAATGAGAGGTCATCCTCAACAAGCAGATTTGACGCCCACGCTGGGAAACAAATGCATGAAATAATTGCCCCAAACAGCTGTATCCAGAAATGGAGAAGCCACATCAGGATTTATGACTGATGAAAGGATTCCTGCCGCCCGAGCTGGGGCAGCCCCGGTGGGATAACCATAGGACAAAGGGACTCGAGCATCAGATTTGGGTTGGACCTGATAGCTTTTAAGTGCTCCCAGCCCTGAGATAGGGGAACAGGCTTTGTACATGGCTGTGGCTTCTCCAGCCAGTTGGCAGCAGCTGTCTTCCTAGAGCTGTATTAATAACATCTTCATTGACACTGCATGCACAAACAACATTTTCCATTTAAACCACATTCATTGCTGGCCTCCCGGGAATCGCCGGTGAGACTGGAGTGCTGGCTAAATAGAAAAAGGCTGAACTGGCTATGCAAGCAATTACTCCTCACAAGGGGGGATCAGAGAGACTCCCGAGTGGGAACACTGTCTGGAATTTGCTGCTCTAGGATGCAGTTTTTTTGGGGGAGGGTGCTAAAGACAGGTAACCTAAAAGTGCCTGGTACCTATGGGCAGATCTCTGTAAGCTCAGAGATTTCTTAGGATTTGGAAACGTGGGGCATACAGGACCCAGGCTCTGATAGCCCAAGGGGCACAAGTAGGGAAAAAAATATTCAAGTTAATTGCAGCTCTGCCTTATAAAAATCCTTGAACTCTTCCCAAGAGGTCAGCAAGGTTTTAATTTCCATTCCCATGTTGTAGGTATCTGTGCTTTTGTCATTAACCAACATATTAAAATGAAGGTGGATGAGTGGTGAAATGATCTGAGGGTTTGCTATAGACCAGGTACTGTGTGATGTCATCTATGCCTCTATTATGTCATCTCATTTAATCCTCACACTGACTTCCCAGTTTATGGTTGAAGACAGAGATATTCTGAGTAACTTTTTCTCAAATTCACACAACCACAATATGGCAGGACTGGTATGCAAACCTACCCATGTCTGATTTGTCTTTAACTACTACAGCCCACACATGAATAAATGAATGAATGAATGAGGGACAGCTTCAAGAAACATTATGAACCCAATAAACCTGAACCATTAGGTTGAGATTAAAAAAAAATAAAAAAATAATGAAAGAGAGAAAATGATTTCCCGTAAAAGCAAGGCTGGTGAAAGCAAAAAGAACTGGGCACATAATTTTGCACTAAGATTCCTAGACACTAAGGTGAAGTGTTAAGAAAGGCAGATGCATTACCCAGCCCTCTGCCCACTTCAGGAGGAAGATGAACTCACCTGGCGAGAGTGGCCTCCTGTCCCCAAGCCCTGAGCATGCTGGGGTCAGTTCTCATGGGGGTTGGCCTCTCTAAGCAAGATCCTAGCTACAGAGATGAGTGAGGCCCAGGCTTAGAATCCTCTTTCTGCCCATTTAGTCTATTTAACAGCCCTTCAAAACGATTTCATTTTGGATATGAAGTGTGTTATTTCTTTTCTAGCAATGATCTTAGGAGTGTTATAAACTCAGTAACACAAAATTATTACTATTGTCTGGAAAACAGAGTTGGTGTAGGTTGGCCAACATGCACATGCACCCAATGGGCAAACCCTAGGACAACAGTAAGTGCAGGAGCTCCACATCTGTGCTGCTCAGCCTCACCTTGGGCAGAGAACCAAGAGTCAACGGTCCTATGGTGGAAATGATCTAGCTATAATTGCTCACATTAAATCTAGTCCCCGGTTTCAAATTTGTTCAGTTGATTTCAAAATAGGACTTAATTGCCCTATCTTGGCTCTTGTTAGCAATACACGCCGTTGCCTGTATTTCTGTTCTGATAGGATGGCCTCTGGCTCATATATAATATTGTGGTTCTTTCATCTTGCTAGAGAAATATGATTTAAATAACTCAAACAATTACAACCTGCTCTGTTTCCTGTAGAAAGAAAACTGAGAGTTAGGGGGGGAAGTTAATATTCCAAGTTCATCTACATTGTAAGTAATGAAGTTGAGTTTCAAAGCAAGGTATGTTGGACTCCAGATCTGTTTCCACTGCACTGCACTGTTTGTCTAATGAGGACAATTAGTAGCCTACTCTTAATAAGGTGCAGCCACGGTGATGACACAGGGTTCTCCATTAAGATTCACACTTTCCATGTTTTTTCAAAGATATGGAAAACCAAAGCATTAAACTTCACACCAAAGCTTGCAGTCTGTGCTGCTAAAGCACAGAGACCTTAGGCAAGGTCTCTACTAAAACATCACATCAATGTCTTATTTACTCTATCTTCTTTTCTTTTCTTTTCTTTTCTTTCTTTCTTTTTGCATTTATCACTTATTATTGTATTTCCAACAAAGGATGAAATCTGTCCCTTTAAGAGTCAAGACCCCATATTTTCTTGTAGATTTGCTCTGGCAACACTGAATTTCTGCCCAAGGTCCTCTAACATCTGATTAAATATGAATGTGGAGGCTGGTTGCTCACTTGTTTGTGATCCTTTCCCTGGAAACCCCCATTACTATAATAAAACATGGCTAAAGCAGGCTGGAAATGGGGCCAGCCATTAGCTATTAATTCTTAATCGACTGGCAGATTATAATGATGCTTGGATGATGAAAATGGATGGGTAGACAGGATCCTTTCTATACCTCAGATTCAAACTGAATGAAAGCCAAGAAACTGAAATGATAATGCAGGAGACACTAGATACCTTGGAGACATGTGGTTGTCCATTTTTACTAAGCCCAGACAGATCCCTGATCATGCCTGATGGGCTCTCTGTGCTCACTGTCTACAACCCAAAGCACCAGCCTTAAACAGCCTTTGGTGTTGTTACCAAACTCTTCTGTAGGCACATGCCTGAAGCTTCTGTCTGCCTCTGTCTGTCCTTGCATCTCCCGTTATTTCATTCTTGGGCTGAGAACCAAGCCTCAAACCACTTTTCCACTCACTGTAGAAGGATGCTAAGTTACATTCTTACAAGGATCAGAGTGGAGACAACCCAGAGGCTAGTTTGGGCAATCGGTTTCATCTTCAGTGTAATATTTAACAGATTGCACTAGCTGCTTGAAGGCCATGTTGAAGACTGAAGCTACACCCAAGCCCAATGGGAAAGAAGCAGTCATTGGTTACTGATGTTTTCCACAGACACAGGGAGTAGGAGTGAGAGCAAGTTAATATTTGTCACATATGACAGAAGTTTTGTCTTTCTATGGTGGACAAGAATTTCCCATCCATTCAATTAGATCAACTGCCTATGGCAAAGCTGTGAAAAAGACAAAGTCATTAGGAAACCAAGCCCTGGGATTATTTCAAAAAAAATAGAGGAAGGAGAAGGAGGAGTCCATTGAAGGAAAAAGACTATGGGCAGAACTTGGAGGAATTAACCTTGAGATGCAGCCTCATGAAGATCCATATGGCTCCAGGCCACACTTCAGTGACTGCCATGGCGTGGTGTCACCAATATCCTCTCATCCCTGGTCAGGACTGGGACATGGACACTTGAGTCTATTCTGAACATCTTGCTCCTAGAGAGGGCTCCTATCCTGATGTCTTCCTACACACATGCCTAACATAGCTCTGCAGTGACATTCCACACCCTCATCAGATCTGACTTATCTAAGAACCTCGAAAATGCTCTCCAGTGACTCTTTGTTCTCCAGTCTTGGCACCGTGGGCAATGTCCCTTCATGTTTCTCTATTTCAGTCTTCTCATTCTGCAATGGAGAAGACTGAGATATAGGAAACACAAGAGATTTTGCAGAGACCACCCAGAGGTGTGGCAGTAGAAGAGCTATAATGCTGACCTCTGGACTCCTAGTCCCAGGCTCCCCCAGTGTGACATGCTCTGCTTCCAAGACCAGCTCCAGACAGCAGTGCCACTATTGCAGGGTAACATGTGGTATTCAGGACATGCTGTACATATTCTAACTCTCATAACCATAGTGGGGGCCCCTAAGCAAAGACCTAAGATATATGCCTTAGAGAGACCCTGGCACATCTGTGGGACCACTGGAAACAGCCATCATGCTTCAAATTCCACACAGTCCAAGAACTCACACAGGAGGGCCCAAGCCAGAACTTGAAGCTAAGAACCAGTTCCTATAAGCCATCAGGAATAAAAACTGCCTCTCCATCCCTCAGCCGGCCCATCTTAAAGGACATGAATAACACTAAGGAAAGGACACTCCATCATTTGATGCACTATCCCTAGATGACATGTGAAGGCATTTAATTGTTTTCAAAATTCCCTGTTTTTCTGAGTTTTCCCTGAGTATGCAAGAATTAGGACTGTCCTTCTTGGCTGTGTATTCACCAACTCCACTCCCAAGTATCTAGAATGGAGCCAGGCATGTGGCTGGTATCTGCAAATGTCATGTGGGTAAGAACACATGGGTAGGACTGTTTTGGAAGATGTGTAGTTTAGATAGATAAAAGGGAAGAGATCTGAACCTGAATATAATCTAGGATTCATTCGGAAAGAGATCACAGGAAGCCTGTGGCCTTGTACTGACACTGGACCATGAAGATGTAAAACGTTCAAAAGACATAGAGTGTCGTGGGAAAGAGACTGGACTCAGGAGCCAATTAGCCTGTATACCAATCCCATCTTTAACACAAGCTCCAGCAAGTTACTTCACCTCCTACCATTCAGCTTCCTTGTCTGCATGTATATATGGAGACAATTATAGTGCCTACCTCATAAAGTCATTGCAAGGATTTACTGAGTTAATGTATGAAGTCTTCAGAATAGTTCTTGAATTCTCTAAGCAGGCTGAGAGGGGATATTTAAAAAGACTAAAGGAAAGTGAACAGGTAGTTGATAATGCAGCAATGGAAATTACTTACTGGCTCCTCAGCATCTAGTCTCCATTTTGGGGGTAACAGTCCTAATTCAAGTTTGGAGTTCTGCCTACCACTGTCAGTCTCCAAAGTTTGGGAGGAGCAGGGCGTGAACACGTGACTCAAGGTACCTTATTTCCACAGTGGCACATGTCTTAAGTCTATCTGGTCATGGAAATTCTCCAGACTGTTTGACTAAGACTGCCTAAGACTCTTTTCCCTTGGAGGTAAAGCTGGAAGGAGCAGATAGCAGCCACTTTACAAGAGGAGGTGAGTCTTTCTGGGAACGGGAGCAATGGAGAAAACAGTTATTCAAATCAAGAGGCAAAAAAAAAAAAATCTTGATGACATCATTTAACCCCCTATAAAGAGCCACATCTGAAGGCCGATTACTCATAGAGCTTTCAGTTACATGAGCCAATAAATTCCCTTTCTGCTTAAGCCAGTTTGGATTGGGTTTTCTGTGACTTACAACTGAAAAAGTCTTTAGTTACACATACCGATGAGTTTGAGAGTTTGGCTTTGGAGACCAATTTTAAGAGTGACTGCCAAACCTAACACCTTGGAGGATAATAACTCATCAAGGCTTTGGACACTTTATTCAAGTTCTGAGACAGTCTGCTTCTTCCTATGGGAAAGCAGGGATGATAAAACCTGCTTCGGGGTTGCTGTGAGAATTAAATGATATCATACACAAAAAATGACTAATCCAGTGGTGTCCACAGTTTGAGATCAGAGTGAATGTCCCACAGAGAGTCCGAAATGTGGAATATTTACTTAAGAGCTCATGTGAAAATACATTTGTAATTTGATTGTATTTATTTCAAGAAGATCTTTAAGTGACAGGTGAACAAAAGAGTATGCTGCAACTAGAGTAGACTTGATGAAGGGTGCTCATTTTGAATAAAAGTGAAGGAGACAGGATGCAAATTGTTTTCCTTCTAAGAGAGCAGCAAAATAATACCAAAATATGCTGAATTTGTCAAGTCTTATATTCTAAAGCAGTGTTTCTCAGTTTTCCCAGGGATAAAAAGTGTGTGGTATACTAGTTCATACTACAGGTTCCTGAAACCCACTCAGACTTGGTCAATTGGAATATCTAGCGGTGAACCTGAGAATGTGTATTTGATAACCATTCTCCAATGTGAATTAGGGGGAAATGTAATATCCAAAATGCCTCACACATACAATGTAACTTTTCTTCCCACTATATTTTTGATTAGCTAGAGTTGGTGTCACCATATTAGACATTAGGAAAACACAGAAGAGCTTGAGCAACTTGGTTAGTGCGGGAAAATATTCTAGAGGCAAAATTCTCTGTAATTCCAAGGATGAAAACTCATAAGCTCCAACCTTTGAATTGTGTCCCAGAGTCTCCAGAAAGAGGTGGTGGAAATCACATCATGTCCAAAGTTGCTCATTGCTGTGATACCTAAATTTTAAAAACTGGAAAACACCCTTGAGCTGGACACTAACACACTGCCCACATTGCTTTTTAGGGATCTGTAAAGCAGCCCTCAACTATCTGTCCTCTCTGGGAATTTTCTGGCCCGAAGAAGACTACTTTGCCTGAGGTTGCAGCCTAAATGTGGTGGTGTTAAGGCCCTGTCCTCCTGCTCCAACTTGATACAATTCTGCAAGATTATCCCAGCTTCAAAGCTCTTGCTGGGGTAAGCTAAGGCATTCACTGCAGCTCCATGACAGCTCAACTTCTCCTCCCAACCTCCACTCTCTACCTCTGACTCCCACAGGTGTTGAGCCTCAGGAGCATTCTCTAATATACCTGCTGGCTCAGCTCCAGCTCAGAGCCCAGTGCCCTTGGAACCTGACCCAAGACAACCAGCTATTTCTAGATTTGGGGGACTAGTGAGATGTATTATTATCCAGCCACTGGGTGGAAGACTTTGTTGCTATTCAACATTATTTATGATGACTCTGAAGAAAATAGAAATAATATCTAAATGATAAAAAATAGTCGATGAAAACAGACTGCAAAATTCCATGCAGGCCATAATTGCTATTATATAAAAATTATCCATAGGGGTAGGGCTGGGAGGAATACACAAAAACTAAAGAGTTGTTTGTGATGGTGTGGGAAGGTGGGTTATCTGTGGGTTTTTTTTTTTTTTGAAGTGTTTAAAGTTATTATGACATAACTTTCATAGCAGACAGCAAAGTACACTGAATAATAAATCAGATATTAGTCTGATAAAGAAAAGTCTAAAAAAGGCCAATAGCATCCTATCATATAGAAAACACTTCTTGGGAGAGGAGAGTCAGATCAGATTCTTATGTCTGTGTCCATCCTGTTACTATGTTTCTCCCCTACGGCTGAAAGAGCAGAGGCAGGATCTGGCTCAGGCAACCAAACCAGCAAGCCCAGCCTGGGATTGTGTGCCAGGTGGGCCCCTTGCTCACCTTTAGGTCCCAGCAACGTTTCCCTTTCTGCATTGGCCTGTGACGTCACTCCAACTTGTCTGTCAGAGCCTCAGTAATTGTCCTCATTCTAAAAAGCAAAGAGACCCAGGCTGCAAACAGTTCTTGTCCTCAGTGCCTCGTCCCAGGGGCAATTCTAAGTCTTGTTCTACACAGACAGTCCAGGCGGACTGAGCTCCAAGTTGTTCATAGAGCTAACCTATTTGTTAACTCATCCTGAATCCCGTCCTTCCCCTTCCTAGCTCACTTCCCCACCCCCCACTCCCCCTTCCCCACTCCCAGATAAGCTACTTCACTCAAACCTTGTCTTGGCATCTCCTTCTGGGGGGAATCCAATCTCAGCCAAACGCTGACCCCTCCCCTCCTGCATATCCCAATAGTGTTACTAAAATGATGCTCTTTGGGGTAGTAGACATTCACCTAAGGCAGGGATCCTCAAACTTTTTAAACAAGGGGCCAGTTCACTGTTTCTCAGACTGTTGGAGGGCCGTTGGAGAGTGTGGCAGCCCACATTCCACACATGCGCACTGTGGGCCAGGGACTAGTGGCTGCTAAGCAGGACAGGCAGCGGCAGCAAAAACACCCGGCGGCCGGATAAATGTCCTGGGTGGGCCGCATGTGGCCCACGGCCCGTAGTTTGGGCGCCTGACCTAAGGTTTACAGTAATAGCAAGGAGATGACAGAGTTGCACAGAAAACCAGGTTGAATGTTAGTTGTTACTGACCCAACATTGCCTGGCTGCCCGTGATGTGTGAATTTCTCAGTGGCCCACTTTCTCTCCTGAGACCCTCAGGCTCTCTTCTCTTTCTCAGTCTTCCTCGCGTGTCTTCTCTTTCCTCTCTTCCTGCCCCCATCGACTCTTTTCTCCTATGTGACCCATGGAAATATAAAAACTTACCCCTACCCATTCAGGCGGTGCCCAGGAAACCTAACTAAAGTAAGCATACCACTTACCAAACCATCATCCTTAAGTGTCCTAAGATAAAAAGTGGTACCTATCCTGAATTGAACGTGATCACTTTAGTTTCATACAAACTTTTTTCTTCTTGGTTAACATCTTTAGAATCAGCATTCATCAGGCCTCTAGAAATGTTCCTTTCATTTAATTCAATTGCCATTCAATCTCTGAACCCAAGGGATAACCACTTTCTTTCCTGAAGGCTTCTTTTCCACGGGGTGGAAGGGGACTTATTCTCACTGAGCAGCTTCCCCCAGAAGACACCTTCAAGTGGCACTGCCCAGGCAATGCCCTCCCGGGTGGCATCCCCCACTGTCTCCCCAGGGAGTTGAGCTAAGCCAGGGAGAAGATCAAGAAGCGTTAGGAGAGTCACACTCTAGTATGAGTTCCTCAAAAAATTAAACAAGCAACTACTCTATGATCCATAAATCCTACTTCAGATTGTATACCCAAAAGAAATGGAAGCAGGGACAGCAACAGACATTTTTTTTTACAATCATGTCCACAGCAGCAGTGTTCACAAAAGCCCAACGGTGGAAGCAACCCACTGATGGATGAACGGGCAAATAAAATGTGATATATGCATGCAATGAAATACCATTCAGCCTTAAAAAGGGAGAAAATTCTGACACATGCTACAACATGGATGAACCTTCAGGTCATCATGCTGAGTGATGAAATAACTCAATCAGGAAAGGACAAATATTATATGATTCCTCTTATATAAAGTACCCACGGTAGGGAAATTCAGAGACAGAGGGGTGGTTGCCAGGAGCTGGGGATTGGGGGATACGGGGGGGTGGGGAGTGACTGCTTCATTGGTGTGGAGTTTCAGTTTGGAAAGACAAATAAGTTCTGGAGACAGATGGTGGTAACTGTGGCACAACAATGCGAACGTACTCAACGCCACTGAATTGTACACTTAAAAAAAATGGTTCAAATGGTAAATTTCATGTTATGTATATTGGACCACAGTTTAAAAAATAAAAATGGAAAAAAAAAAAAAGAGGGAGGCACTGTTTCCTCTCCTGCTTCTGCTCCTCACTTAGCTGGAGACCAAAAATAGACCCACAGCATTAGCATCGCGCGTGTCTTCTTGTTAATTGTCTTGTTTTAGATGCAGATGTTTTTCACTTACAGACAGTGTTTTGGGGGGAATAGGAATACGAAATGTGCTGGTTTGGCATTTCTGAACCCAGTAAAACTTTGATTAGTTTGAATGGCATCGCTCCTCCGGAGAGAAACATCAAACCCAAGAAAGCTGCAGCCCTTTTGTTTTCTACAAGCTTTAACTGAACAAGACCTCTTTTAAGCAGGAATGCCTGTGGAATCAGGCATTTTCTTTGTTCCCCGACATACTATTTTTTTAAATGCTTATTGGGGGTGTGAGTGTGGGTTTTTATTAATTTCATTTTTTTTCTATTTTCCTTTTTTAAAATTTCTTTTTGCCTGCATAAGGCAAAAACGCAGAAATGATCAAGTGAGCTAGATATTGCTCTAGTCTTGGAAGGGATGAAGAGTGGGACAGCTTTGCAGCCTCTTACCTAAAATATGAAGGAAAAGGAAAGACATCCCATCCCAGGGCTTGTCTGTTCTTGGAATCTCTCTCTCGCTCTCACCTTTAGCTTTTGCTCTAGATCAATGGTCAGCTGACTGCATGTCAAAGGATGTGTCAACCAATCAGGGACCCCCAAAATTAAATTAGAGTGTATCCACCTTAGGAAAGAGCTGGGTTCCTAAAGTAGAGAGCCGTGGTTGTGACTCTCCAAGCTCTACTGTTTACTAGCTGTGTGACTTTATTAGTCCACGAAGCTCCAGATTTGTCTTCTGTAAAATGGGAGTAATAATAGAATCTACTCCACAAGGGAGGCATGAAGATTAAATTAGGTAATAACTAGGTAGCGCCTAGCACGTACCAGGGTGCACAGGAAGAGCTCAATAATATTTGGCCCTTATGATATAAAGCTCGTTTTATATTAGAAACCCCTGATTCTGAAAATGAAGGAAAAAGCATAAAAGTTGATCTCTGAGGAATAGTTCCGTGAGTCTCACAATTTGAAAAATCCAAGCATGCCCTTGGATGGCACAACTCACAGGAAAGGCTACTAAAGAGATGCACCCTGGAATATAAACGAGTATATCTTATTTTCAGAAGGCTTATATCATCCTGGATGTTTGGCAATAGTGATTTTCCACACACAGGCAAGAATTTTATAGACTCCCCTTAATAGCGATGTACTACGATCAGTAACAGTGACAATATATTGTTTCATGACTCCAAATTCAACTCTCCTTATAAGTACTGGAGCGAAATGCCAGCTAAGTGTGGAATTTACTGATTTAGCTGCGCAGGAAAGAAATTCTGCAGATCAGATCAATATAGCCAGTAAAAACAAACTGCAGAATCCCCATTTTCTGCCGGAGGTCTGTAAGAGAGGGCATTAGATGAGGCACCTGAATTATTCCTGAGCACTTCATCTTGAGTGGCTAGAAATGGTACTTTAAAACCATTACAGGGAAAGACTATGATTTTAGGTCACCGTGATTAAATTAAATGTCCTGTACAAAAAGTTATAGTTAACATATTTTTGGTCAAAAAATTAGATACTATATGAGAATAGTTTTAATCAATCAGAGTGCTGGGACAAGCCTAAACCCCACATTAATTCTTTCAATGATTTTTAGGAGCCATGTGTCCTGTAAAAAGAAGATAAGAACTTAGAATATCAGTTTTTGGAGCAATTGGAAGCTGTATTTGGGAGCGTAATTATCCATGACTACTTTTAAAACTATTTTACCCTTATCATCTTAGTCGTCACCATTATCATTATATTTATTTCTGATAATAATACTTCAGCATAATAGCAGTTTTCCTGTTATCTGCCTAAGGAGTTTGCCTGTTTGAAAATCAGCCATGTACAATTTTTAGAAGGATGGACAGTATCACAAAGGTATCGCAACAGTACTGATACATACTATTGATAAGGGTGTAAATCAGCGGCAATGTTGAAGGACAATTTGATCTTGTCCATTCTAATATAAAACTCATATTTGCTTCAACTCAAAGGTACAGCTGCTAAGTAACTTTCTGAGAAAAATACTCATAAATGTGTCCAAAAATGAAAATATCCCACAAGTTTCAATGAAGCATTGTGTGTGAGAGTGAAAATGTGGATATAATCCAAATATCCTTCCTTTGGGTCATGGCTCCCTAAACTGTGCTCATCCACAATGTTAAAAAATTTACAAGAATTAAGACAAAATAAATGTACTCAAATAGATACGAAATTATTCTATAATCGTTGGTGAACTAGTATATGTTTAACAACCAGATCCCAAGGGAAAAACACTGATTGGTAGAGTTTGCCACTTTCCATGGTGTAAATGTTCCCACCGTGGCCAATTTCAGGCTACCAATGTGATAACAATGGGTGTGGAGTTGAGAAGTGATGTACACAATTGCCTCTCACAGCTGGTGCTTGTGAGCTCCAGCATGCCATTGTCAATACATTGTTACGTGAATGAAGAAAGTAGCAGGACGATGTGTCCCATGTAATATAGACCCAAGCCACACATGCATATGCACTTTTACATATACATATGTATAAAATCGATGAGTGGAGTCACCTCTGGGGCAAGAAGTGAGCCTACTAATAGTAGGGATATTAAGTGGTAAATTGTGCTTTGTATCGTTTGAACAGTTTAAACTGAAAGTGTATTGACTGTGTAACTTATCTTAAAATAATAATGACAATTACATATGCCATGTCCTAGCCATTGAGAATTTGGTAAATTGGCCTGAGATAGACTTAAACACAGATATATTTACAGGGAAGGGGGCTAGGTAGATAAACAGATAGATAGATGTAGTTCGAGTGTCATGGAAATGCAGAGAGAGAAAGAGAGAAGTGTGGGAGTCCATGGTGATATGTCAGGCTTGTTCAGGTGGGTCTGGAGTGTGGTTAGCATGTAAGATAAGGGATTGAAGAAGGAGGGGAGGTGGGAAATGGGGAAGGGAAGCAATTCTGGCTGGAACTAAGGCAAAAGCAAGGTCAGGAGCCTCTTTTTAGGTCTCCCGGGTAAAGAAGGGAGTGCGAGGGAAGGGAGGGCAGGGAGCAGCAGCAGATCATGATACACCTGAGCAGGTGAGTACAGCAGATGTTGTGGTGCACCACCCAGATCCCTCTTCAGGACCAAGGTTCTCATTCACCCAGCTGCCAGGTGTGATGCTACTGACAGCTCATACCTGTGTCCCTTTCTGGGAATTGCCCTTGGCTGGAAGAAGCTGCTCAGCTCACCACTATGCCCCCTCCCCAGGGGCAACCTGTATCCAATTAAAGGCCAATGTAGCAGATAGATACAAAGTTGGGGCCCTTTACTTCAATTCAGGTAATCTCCAAAGTTCATCACATCCTCTCTGGGATTGGCTGAAGTGCTATTGCAGCCACAGCACCATCCACCTCCTCCATCTGTCAGATCCTGGTGTCTTCACCCCTGTACAGTGATATTCTCAAGAGCACTCACTAGTAAACCTCCTTACTCATCAGGTCTGTTTCCCAGAAAGCACAAGCTGCCATAGGGAAAGGCCAAATTTGGGGAAGATTTCCCAAGCCACAGAAGCAGGAGCAGTGTGTCAATCTCAGATGCTTCTGATCTGGTTAACTGCTTTGAGTTTAGAACCCTAGCTTAGGGATAATAAGCAAGATTCAGAGGAGGTTTTCAGCCAAAGAACAATGTCCTGTAAGTGTTGCTGAAATAGGGGTGGAACAAGATCTATGGACACCCTCCTGGAGGACTCTTACAGGTTCACATTCAAAATGTTTCCATCAAAGACAGCTGCTCCCTTTCTCTTAAATAGCCTCCAACAAGGTCCACTTCTGAGTTTACCCATTTCTGGGTTCCACTTACAGACTTGCAGAAGTCTGGACTGTACTGTTGAGTATTAAAGTCCTACTTTACATTAAGAAGCTACATCCATTGCTAAGGCTGAGGCGTTATTGGGAATTATTGAAATTCCACAGTCTCCTGCTGGGCCCTTGTCACCTGCAAACCATTCTGTTCACAGTAGTCTTCCCTGGTTTTTGCACCTTGTGCTCAGCACACCCCAAGGTTGTGTAACTTGTTAGTGGTCGTGCCTGGTCTGCTGTCTCTCAGCTCCGTAAGCTTTCTAGGCTCAAAACAGTAGTAAGGGATGTAATCACAAAAATACTTAAAAATTCCTATCACAGGACTGGATCATGCATTGGTTGGGGTGGGGATGAAGAAACAAAGGTGTCGAAATGGCTTCCTGGGTTTCTGGCCCTCCCCCCTGGCTGGGTGACGGCACCACTCACTGAGAAAGGGATTCTACATGGGAACCAGGCTGAGGGGCTGGGGCAGAAGATAGTGATTTTATTTTTCTAGAAGTTGAGTACTTGATGGCCTTGAAACACTCAAAAGGGAAGGTCAACTGGGCAGTTTGGTATAGAGAGAAATTCACCATTCTTCTTTTTTTTTTTTTTTTTTTTTTTTATCAGAGAAATGTCTATGTATCTTCCAGTAGCTGGACATTAAAGTGATGGGAGATGAGTTTATCTAAGAAGGAAAAGAGCCTCAAACCGAGCCTTGAGCGATGACCACATTTAATAGCATATTCAGGAGAGGCGGGAAACGGAGGAAGAAAGGAAGCTTCCAGAGAGATAGAAAAACCCGGGGAATATGGTATCGCAGAAGCCAAGGGAAGAATATTTCAAGAAAGAGAGAGGGAGTGCTCAGTGGAGTCGAATGCCACGAACAGGTCCAGGAAGACAATGCAGGTAAAGGTCTACTGGGGTCCACAACGTGGGAGGTCATCGCGACTTTTCCAGGAGTGCTGGGAACAGGAAGCAGGTCAGCCCGGACTGGGAAGTGGTGGGAGGGGAAAAAGAAAACAGAGCCAGTAAGTATGTCTGACTCTTCATAGCAATGTGCCAGAGGGGGAAGCAGCAGAGCTAAGGACAGAGGCTGAGAGGACGAAGGTCCACTGAGGTCAGGCTTTTGTTACTGTTTTGTGTTTTTAATAGGAGAGACTCGAAAACTTTTTATTTTTTATTTTATTTTTTTTTTATTTCAGCATATTATGGGGATCCAAATTGTAAGGTTTCAAATAATGCCCTTGCCCCCCTCCCCCCACAAGTCTGTGCTTCAAGCGTGACCATCCCCCAGATGGTGCACATCTCACTCATTATGTATGTATATACCCGCCCCCCTCCCCCCTCCCACCCGCCCAATACCTATTACTGTAGTACCTATGTGTCCACTTAGGTGCTGCTCAGTTAATACCAGTTTGCTGGTGAGTACATGTGGTGCTTGTTTTTCCATTTTTGGGAAACTTCACTTAGTAGAATGGGTTCCAGCTCTATCCAGGAAAATACAAGAGGCGCTATATCACCGTTGTTTCCTAGAGCAGAACAGTACTCCGTGGTATACAAATACCACATTTTTAAAATTCAATCGGGAAGTTTCTGGTTCAGGATGGAGATGGGATTTGAAGAGAGAGAAGGGATGAAAGGGTCAAAGGTCCTGGGCGGGGAGGGAGGGGCTGGCACCCAGCACACAGGTGGGGGCAGGTGCTCTACCGTGGGAGGCAGGGAGGCATTGGGGGGCCCGTCGGTGTGTTCTGCGACTGGACAGGCAGGGCGGCTTGGCTGATGCTGCCGTTCCACTGGCCAACCTGGAGCGGAAGTCAGCCGTCAGCGGTGAGCGGTGAGGAGCAGAATGCAAGGTTTGGGGAAAGCGAGAAAGGTGTGAACCCGTCCTTGGGAAGAATGAGAGTGTGAGCTCACCGACTGCGAGACTACAGGGGAGTGACTGGTCCAGTCTGAGTGAGGGGACACAGATTTGCATTGAAATTAATTTTCCCTGCTGTATGACCTTCTCCAATTTTGGGGATCGTGGAACAGCATGAAAAATAGAAATAGGTGGGTTAATCAGGTAGAAGAGTTTAGCTTAGCAGCTCCACTTCCCATCCACAGTGAGACCCGGGGGCATCATTACTGCGTCCAGGCCTCAGTTTCAACATCTGCGAAAGGGGGATAATTGCACACAGCCTGCCACCCTTTGGGACTACGAGGGAACCAAAGGAAAGAGCAGAGGGGAAACAACTTGGAGCTGCATAAATGTGCTGTGTGTGTCTTGAAGCACCAGGGCCTGGGCCACTGCTCGAGCCGCGGCAGCCCTAATAAATCTCAGGGCTAGGTAAGAAGGGTCAGCGGATAATGGAAACGGCTCAGTGGGTGTGACCCAGTCTGCACCAGGGGCAGGAGAAATTCCCGATAAGTGGTGTTCCGAGAAGTGTCTGACCTCACTCAAAGGCACCAGAGAAGGTGACTCCTCAGAAATATGGGGGAGGATGTCAGCGGACCCTCAGCCAAGTCCTACAGTGGGTTTGAGAAGAAAGTCTGGGAGTCTCTGCCAGGGAGGAAGGTGACTCTCAGAATTCGTGCTTCCACTCCCAGTGAGCTGAGGTGGGGTCCTAGTGTCTGCCCAAGTTCCCTCTAAACTAGGGGAGCCCGGCGTGCTATACAGAATACTAGGACCAATGTGCGGCATGCATCACAATTATTACGCTGATTAGTACCTCCCATGAAATGCCTAGAATCTTCCTTCCTGACCTGATCTATCCTGGATGAATGTTCGGGCCAGACCCAAATAAGGAATGGTGATTTATAACTGTTTGATTACCCCCAACACATAAACACACACACACACACACACACACACACACGCACGCACACAGTGGTTCCCTTTGTTTCTTCTAACACATTGTGATATTTTCTACCTCTGGCCTTTAAATTTGCTAGAATGTCTGCCCAGAATGTTCTTTCTCTATGTTTTCTTAGGACTTGCTCATTTCATCCTATGGACCACAGCTGAAATGTGTGACATTTCACACACTGTGGGGGTAGTATGTGGTTTGAGACTAAACCCAAAATTTGACATATCTTGAATATTGCATTCTAGAGAGCTAGGACATCATCCTGAAGGTAATGGGGAACATTTGACAGATTTTCAGCAGAAGAGAAACTTGTTTGAATTAGAGCTTTAGATAAATCATTTTTGTGGTTTCTTTTTAGGATAAATTACAAAGGGATAAGATTGAAAGGCAGGAAACCAACTACGAGTCCACGGTAAAAGTTGAGATGAGCTATAAAGATGCTCAAGAAGAATGACAGAGAAACTGATGGAAACAAGACTTACAAGTCAATAAGTGAGTGAACACACGTAAACACACGCATGCATTTGTGTACACACCTCGAACACAGGACATCCTCAGATATAAACCAGACAGAGAATATGTCCAAGAAGCTTGTATGCCACAATGCACCTGGTGGGTTTTTGTGTTTTAGTTCCACTAAACATCATGTAAGAGCAATGCAGAAAGAAATGCCATCAGTTCATTTCTTTAATCTACAGATGAAGTTAGGTTTGCATCTGAAAATCAGCTCCTTATTGATCTTAACCTTGTTAATATTCATGAGGCTCTATCCAGAGGTAGGAGATTTTAACACAGTGGCCCCCACACTCTAAATCAATTCTCATTGATTTCGATCGGCTTCCTCCATCCAAGAATTGATGTCAGCCCCTCCCATAAAAAGCTGCTGCCAAGGTCCTTTGAAACACAGGTGGTGTGAGGGGCTGGTTGGTCCTTCCTGCCATTGTCTGGATTCACAGTAGAGAGAGATGGTGTTCGGGCAGCTTCTGCTCCTTTTCGGGGATATTTGGCCTTGATTGCCTCCTAAATCCATTCATCCACAAAGCCACCTTCCCCTCAATCCTCGCCCACGGGATGAAAGAAAGAGCCCTTGTCACCTTCAGGCCCATGTCAATTTCAGGACAAAGCTGATTTTTCCGTAAGGTTAAGTACTGCCTGTCCTGAGAGGCCTCTAACAGGCTCGAGCGACAACCCACTCAGTCCTCAAATATAATTAAGTCGAGTAAAGAGCAGGAGCCCACAACCAGACCCACATAGACTCTGGCTTGGAGCTCTGCCTTCTCCCAGGTCTGCCCGAGGACCAGCCCTGAAGGTTGAGTCACTCCCCACAGCAAAGGTTTCTTGTGACGGTCTGGAAACCTAGTGCAGGTGACTTTCTTTTATTTTTATTACATTTTTCTCTGTTTTATATTTTATATATATTATTATATTTTTCTCTTATTTTCTTAATGAAAGTATCTGTCTCATGTATCAGGAAATGATACATGATATCAAATGATGTGCTGTAAGGCAGCATTAGCTCCTGATCATGCCCCAAAGAAGGGGAGTTATGACCGATGATGAAAAGTCTTATGAGTGCTAAACCCAAGTGATGATGTGACTTTCCTTTTGGTGCACGCTATGGAACATCCCAGAGGTCCCAGGGCAAAGTGGGAGCTGCAACTCCACTCTGTCTCGCTCTGCTCGATGGCTGCTCAGATCGGTCAAACATTGAAGGTGGTTTCTGGAAACCTAGTCATGCCTTCATTGTCTGGACACTTTCTTTATCACTTCTGCTCTGAGCTGCTCTCAGTACCTCATCCACTCCTCCCTTCTTCCCAAAACACACACACACACACACACACACACACACACACACACACACACACACATAGCCTGGCCCTAACCACCCATGGTGATGGAGAAAAAGATACACTGATCAGAGTCAGGCCCATCCCACTATGGAAACCCCTCTTGTGACCTTCCCATTCTTTTATTCAACATATTTACTTACTGAGGACCTACTATATGCCAGGGACTGTTCTGGGGGCTGGGATTCAGTGGGGAACATGAAGAAGGACTCTGTGATTGTGGTGGACAGACACCAGGGTGACCCCATGCCCCCCACCTCCTGGTTTTCATGCCCTGTTCCATCCCTTTCACATGGAGGTGAATGGGACCTATGATTTGCTTTCAACCTACTGAATACTGCAAGGGTCATGGGATGTCACTCTCATGGTTTGATGCATACAATGGCAATGTCATCTTGCTGAGAGATTCTCACTTGGTTGCTTCCCTATGGAGAGGGCCAGTTGGTGAAAAATTCAGGGCAGTCTCTGGCCACCAACCAGCAAGAAACTGAATTTTGCCAACAACTACATAAAGAGGTTCTTCCCTGGTTGAGCCTCAGATGAAACCTCAGCCCTGGCTGATGCCTTGATTGCAGCCTTGTGGAGGACCCAGATAAACACTCTTCCCACACTCTGGACCCACATAAACTATGAGATAATGTGTGTATTGTTCTAAGCCTCTAATTTGTAGAAATTTGATACATAACTTGATGCTCATGTAGTTTACACTGTTGTAGGAATAGTATTATTTAGTGGTCAAACTATCAGGCCCACCTAGAATCAACTGCGTTCAAACTCCACTTATTTAGAGAGTGTAGCAGGTACTAAGCACTGACTATATTTTCTAATCCTCCCCACAGCCCTGTGAAGTAGATATTTTTATTATCTCCATTTTGTGACTGACTAGACTGAATTACGAAAACATTAAATAACTGTCCCAATGTAATGCAGCTTAGCTGTGGCTGAGCTCTCGACCTGAGTCTATCTAACTCCAAAGATGCTCTTAAACACTGAGTACGTCAGGGTGCTAAAGCCACCCTGCAGAGTGTGTGGCCCAGATTTGTCAGACCTTCACCTGTACACACTGCTGTGTCGGCATTGACGAGCCAGCTACAGATGAGGAAACAGAAGCTTACAGGCTGCATGTATTTTATCACAGGTCATCTACATTTACTGGGACCAGACTCTGAACCTGGGTCAGTAGACTTCAAACTCATGCTATTTCTACTTTTTTCTCTGCTTTATTGCCTTGCATAAAAGTGTAGCTTGAGCTTCTCCTTTATTTTTAGGTATCATTCCCATTTAGCAAAGTCCTCTGAATTATTCTTCCATTTTTTCATCCAACATTTACTGAAAATTTGCTTTGTGCCAAGTGCATATTAAACCTCAGAAATAAAACACAAAGATGAATAAGAAAGCACCTTTGACCAAGTCCTACTGCAGATTATCAGACTGTAAATAGCTTGTGGCCCAGGGCACATCTGTGTGGTTTGCTTTTGTATCTCTACTACAGAATGCACAGGTGGCTGGAACTTTTTTAAATTAGTGGCTCTGCATATTGTTGACAGATAGCCTCCTTTGCCCCTGATCTTGGTGTTGGCAGCTGCTTCTTTAACTCCATGGAGTGATCCCTAAATTCTCACTTTCACACCTCCATACCTTTGCCTGTGATCCCCTCTCCACCTGGAATGCCCCTCTGCTCTTTCTTCTCCTGCCTGCAACTCCTGCTAACCCTTCAAAGACCTGGAATGTTATCTCTGTTCTGCAGCTATTCCTTCCTCTCCAGCACAATTAATTATGCCCTGGTCACTTTTCCCCCAGCGACTTTACACCTTTCAATTACAGCATTTAACATATTCTATTTGGTTATGTGTCTTTGAATTTCTTTCTTCCACCAGCCTGAGAGTAACTTTGTAAATCCAGCTCCCAACTCAGCATAGAGTACCAGTTCAACAAATGCTGAATGAACTGAATTTACTCATTCATTTCACAAATATTTATTAATCGCATTCTGTGCACCAGGAATTTTTCTAGCTTTGGGGAGTCAGCCACGAACAAAACAGGCAAAAAAAGTCCCAGCCCTTGTGGAGCTTATATTGTATTGATTCCACTTGAAACGTCTGCTTCTGTTGGATCTCTTTGGCCAGATTTTAATTAATTTCCTTTGCACTGTCTTTCAATTTGATGCCAAGCCCTGGCTACGTGACTTGGGATTTATCTCGGGAAGCCAGTTTGTGCAAACATCTCTCCAGGCCCTGGGAAATCCTGGTGAAGCCCAAAAAGTGAGAAGACCATGTTGTTAACAGACACACTAGTGCAGATCTGTCCAAATGAAGTTGTCTTCTCAGAAGTAGCCCCTGCGGGAAGCCATGCTCCTTCTCAGTACGGCTGCCAATGTTTCAACTATTTTTGGACTCCTATTTTGGAGCTGTAGGTGGAATTTGTGGCACATTTGTGAACAGACTCAATGGGTGGAAATGTCCCTTTCAGGGCTTCATTTGCCACTAGATAATGCCTGGAAGTGTTTTATAGACAAGGCAGGTGATGAGCTTCCCAATCTGGCTATTTAGAAGCAAGAAGAAGGAAAAGAAGAATGCCAGGTGCATGAGTCTTTATTATGTGATGACCCCATCTCTTTGTCCTGTATTTATGTGCTATACAGGCCACACTATGGCCAATATCCTGATTAGTAATGTTATTTCCCTGGTTAGGTGTGAGGATGGTGGTGGGGAGATGGGAAAGGGATTAAAAGCCTTTACCACTCCCACCAAGGAGAAGTAGAAGATTTGGCACACTGAGAGCACATAGGGTTTAACAACCATACTCCTAGTCTTGGGAAGACAGCAGCACCATGGCCCCATCTGGGGAGATGGCTAGAACATCAATGAAGGTCTCTCTCCACACTTTCGCATTACACCTTTGTATTCTTCCCAGACCAACAATATGAAGAGTTCAGACATTATTTCTAAAACCCAAGGAAGTAGATCAGAACAGATCAATAATTAAGTTCCCTCTTGGGGTGGAAATATTCCCCCATCACTACTCGGATGTAGTGTTCAAATTGAAGGCAAAGACATCAAGATGTTAAAAGGTAATCTGCAAAGTGGTAGAGTTTTGGTTTCTTTACATTTTCTTTTATATGCTTATCTGTGATTTCCAAAATATCCATAATGATAAAAAAAATTCATTAAAAACAATATTCTGATGAACACATTGTCCAATGGACTTAATATCAGAAGTCCTATGCTAGACTTGTTTCAAGCCACTATCTTGACCTTGAGTATTTGTTCCTCTGTCACTTCTTTTTTATGTGACCTTGGACAAATGATTTAATACTCTCTTCCCAATTCATTTCCCTCGTCTGTAAATTAGAAATAATAATAGTGTGTATTATTATATCATAATAACCTAGAGGTTATTATGAGTATTAAGTTAGGTAATACATAAAATGGAGTTAACACAGTATCTATTGGTAAATTCATAATAAAAGTCACTTATTATTAATTCTTTAATAATGTTCAAAATAAAAGTATTAAAACCACAATCTGAAGGGCCTGAAATTGTGCAACCACCATAAATGTAATTACAATAACATAACAGGATTATCTAACGTAGAGAAGAATTCTCAGATACTTTAGAGGTGATTTCAACAGGATTTCAGCTATTAGATTTTGAGAATTATCCATGTTGATACACGTAGACTTAGTTTGCTATGTTCATTCAAACTAAACTCAACAATTTAGTCTATTCTGCTACATACTATTTTGTTGTGTGACTACACCACCAGTTATTTATTCATTCCCCACTGGTTGTCATGGAAGGCGTATTCAAGTTCCCTCATTCAAAAGCAACAAGCAAGCACTACCATAAATATGTTCAAGCACATGTATGAGGGGTGTTGAGGGTAAATACCTAGCAATAGAAGTGCTAGGTCATAAAGTATGCACATCTTCAATTGTATTCGTTGTTTCTAAATTGCTTTCCAACCACTTACAGTCAGGCCAGCAGTGAGAGTTTCTCTTTTTCTGTACATTCAGCAAAAGTCAGCACCATCCAATAGGTGGGAAATGCTATCTCATTTTAACTTGCATATCTATGACTTCTTAATTTATGCATGTGTGCTATTTGATTTTCATATTCTGTGCTTTCTTCATTCGTATGAATCCTATGTCCATTTTTTTCTAGTGGAATATTGGTCTTTCTATTATTGATTTATAGGATTGCTTTATGTATTCCAAATAGTAACCGTTTGACAGATATCTGTAGAGATGTGTGTTGTCATATACAAACCTTTATTTCATTGAGTCAAATCTGTTAATCTTATACTTTGCTATTTGTGCTTTTTGTTTTACTTTCTAAAAAAATAACTTCTCTACCCCAAGATCATAAAGATATTCTCATAAATTTCCTTCTAAAAGTTCTATTATTTTGTGACTCATTCCTTCTAGATTTGATGTTTGCATATGGCCTAAAGTAGAGATGAGATGATCTTTTATTCTATAAGACCATCCATTACCCCCACAACATTCATGGACTGGAACAATCCCTCTCGCCCTCTCGCCACCTCTGGCCGTGCCTCTGTGGTCTTTTGCAAGTTCCCATGTGTGTTTCAGGGCTCTTTCTGCTCTGTTTATTCTGTTCTTTGATTTATGTGTCTATCTCTGGACCAAATTGACGCTGCTTTAATTCCCGTTATCTTTGAAATATTATAAATCTTGCTGCATGGAAGAGTAAGACTACCCTGCTCCTTCTTCACAATCATCTCAGCTACCCCTGGCCTTTGATTCTTCCATGAAAATCTTAAGATCAGTTTTGCCAAGTTCTACCAGAACAAACCAACCAACCAACAAAAGCTGTCTGGGTTTTCATTGCATCTGCTTTGCTTGACATTAAATATATTTTTCATCAGAGGACGATATGGGCCTTTAGGACAAAGGAACCAGAGGAGGCCTTAGGGCACCTCTGAGTTTTAGGACATTTGAGCCAGGAGGGTTTTTTGGTTAGTTTTTGTTTTTGTTTTTTCTCTTTAGGACTTTTGTGCTTCCTCAGCACATAATACACTCTTGAATACTGAAGGGAAAGCACGGCTCATCAAAGACAGGCTTCAGATATTCCTAAATCCACAAGCCAAATTACTACCAAGACTCAAGTCACCAAGTCTCACCATCACCTCCCAGGCTGGATCTGAGGCTGATGTGGTCCCCCTAGGCATGTGCACACTTCTACTACTTGCAGCCACCAGACTCCAGCTGCAGGGCTGGCACCTCCCGGGGCCCCAGTCCAGGCTTGACTCTCAGCATGGCACCTCCCGGCCAAGCTGCTGGATGTCTCTGCACATCCCCGGACCTTGCCCTGGTTTACGTCCTTACCTGCCCCTGCTCCCATTCGGGTGCTAGTTCTCTCCCTGAAGCATCAGCCTGCCACGTGCCTCATCACACTGTGGCCAGGCTGGCTTTCTGACCATATGGTCATGACGCCTCTCCAGAGACGCTGGCTGCGACATCTCAGAGGTGCATTGCCCGATATGGTAGCCATTAGCCATATTGGTCAATTAAATTTATATTTTAATATATTAAAATTTTTAAAAATACAAAATAAAAATTCAGCTCCCTGGTCACATCAGCCACATTTCAAGAGCTCAACTGCTCCGCAGCCACGTGCGGCTACCATCTTAGATACACCTCTGCCTTCGCCGAGGGTCTGACTGTGCAGTGCTGACAGGGTCTCACGGCATCACCTGGTTCCCCAAGGGGTCACAGCCAAATATCTCATGTGAAACCCAGGGCTTCCGACATCACAGCCCCTGCCTACTGCTCTCCCCATTCTCCCATCCCAAATCTGTTAAAATTAGGATATTCATTCAGTTTCCCTCAAGAGCCTTTGACTTCCTGACTCTGAGGTTTGGCTCAGGGCCCCTCCTATGGCCAAGGATGCCTTTCCTTCTCCATCACATTTCTACCCCAGTCTTCTTCTCCCTGCAAGGCTCTGCTCAAATGTCGCCTCATCTCTACCATCTCCTTCTCCCCATTCTGCTTCTCAGAGCATCCGAAGCCCACCTCCTGCTTCCCTGTTGCACTCCGACGTTATGTCTTCTTGTTAATATCCTTCCATTAAACTAAACTCACCTACGGCAGAGCCTCTATCCCTAGAGCCTAGCTCAGTGCCCGGCACCTAGAAATTGCCAGTGCATAATTACGACATCTACGAACATCCCCATGTCACGCTGATGCTTTCCAGCACTGCTTGCCCTATGCTTAACCTTGGGCTGCCCTCCACTTCTCTACTCACTCCCCCCACATTTAATTACCTTTTCATCAGACGTACAAAACGTTCTGCTTGGCTCCCTGTGTAGTTTAAAGTGTTTGTGTAAACAACAGAGAGATCCTGTTAATTATAAAGACTTCCTCACATTCATTGCAGCCAATTCCTGTCTCCCCTGATTGTAAAGGAGATAGGACCAGCCACTCAGAGACAGGAAGGGGTTTATTGAAAGGGACAACAGCAGCCCCGAAGAGATAGAGCAATACAGACACATGGCTCTTTTGCCACAGGAGAGATGCAGAAGGACAAGGAAGATGGAGAAAGAGAGAGAACGGGAAGAAGAGCAGAGAGAGACATAGAACAGAGGCCACTAGAGAGAGACAGCAGAGAGAGAGCAAAGGCAGATTAGAGAGAGGGAAAGAGAGACCTAGAGACAGAGGTAGAGTCAGAGGAGGACCGAGAAATGCAGCACCAGAGCAATGAGTGGTGGGTGGAAATGTTCAAACTGCAGCCTCCCTCACGCTACACAGCCTGTGTGCTTGGGTTCATTACACAGCACACTGGCATTGCAAATTGGGAATGTGTGCATGCAGAAAGTTAGAACAGCCATCAAAAGAACAAATGGAAACCAAACTCTACTTCAGCCACTGGGATCTTGAAAGCCAGCGTGATCAATCCTGAGTGTCGTTCACATTGACCTAATTCTGCCTTGCTGAAAAGATCCAAAAAGAAAAGCTTGGATATGCAGAACACGTTCTGACCTAGGAGCTGCGGTTCCTTTGGAGAGCCCTAGCTGGAATGCTCAGCAAGAATCCGCATCTCTACTGTGAGTAGCACCAATCCGTGCCCTTGGTGGAACAAGCAAAGCATAACTAAAGCTCTTTTCCCTAAACATGTAACAAAGAGTTTGGAATGTGTCAGGTATAATGATGCTTGATCACTGAAGAGAGTGACCAAGACTTTTTAATGATAGCAAGAAGCTCTGCTATTGAGCCACTTAAAATACTTTACCTTGTCTTCTTCCAGATGTCCCAAAAGTCTACTCCCAAGACCTATCAGCTTGACTAAGAATCTGGAAAACTTGCTTTCTCATCCGCTCATTCTCCACGCACATTTGTCAAAAGCCTCCTATGACTCAGCTTCCCGCCAGGTACTATAGTGGAGAATGCAACAAACGTTCCTTGCAGCTAGGGAGGTAAGCATAGAGTGTGGACAAGCAGACATTAAATAAAAAACCATACAAATGTGTATCACACTAAAAGCATAGATACTCACAATAAGTTAAGAGAGCATAGTGTCACAAAAGAATTGAAAACAGGCACCCAACAAATACTCATGCATGAATGTTTATAGTTACACTATCCACAATAGCCAAAAGGTAGAAACAGCTCAAGTGTCCATCAGTCAATGAATGGATAAACAAATTATGGTTATCTACATACAATGACATATTATTCAACGTTAAAAAGGAATGAAGTAATTATACATGCTACAACATGGATGAACCTCAAAAACATTATGCTAAGTGAAAGAAGCCAGACACAAAAGGTCAAATATTATGGGATTCCACTTGTATGAAATGTCCAGAATAGGTAAATCCATAGAGATAGGACACAGATGGGTGGTTGCTCTGGGCAGAGGGGAGGGGGCAATGAGCAACAGAGAATATCTGTTTAATGGGAAGGATGTTTCCTTTTGGGGTAATGAAAATGTTTTGGAACTAGATAGAGGTGGTGGTTTCACAATATTGTGAATATACTAAATGCCAATGAATTGTTCACTTAAATGGCTCAATTCATTTTATGTTATGTGAACTTCGCTTCATTAAAAAAAAGTGTGACTCCAAAAAACGGAATATTATGGAATGGCTTAGTTTAAATAAAGACCCAAGGAAAGACAACTCTGAGTGAGTGGCAGGCACATGCAACGTGAAGGATGAGTAGTAGTTAGTAAAGGGAAGGGTGGAGAGTGGCAGGCTCTGGACAGACTGAATAATACCCATGAAAGCAATCAGGTGAGCAAGAGCTTGGCACTTCTGAGAACAGAGAGGAAGTCTGGTGGCTGGAATGCGGAGAACAAACAAAACTGTGGCTTGGGATGAGACTGAGAAGTAGGCAGGATCAGATCTTCATGGGGATTTTTTTCATTTCAAAATTTTTTTTATTTCAGAATATTACTGGGGTACAAATGTTTTGGTTACATAAATTGCTTTAGTACTGTTTGAGTCAAAGTTGTAAGTGTGTCCTTCACCCAGATAGTGTGCATTACACCCATTAGATATGAATTTACCCATCCCCTCCTCCCTCCTCTCACCTACTGGGTTTCCAATTAATGTTATTTCCATATGTGTACATAAGTGTTGATCGATTACTTCCAACTTAGTGGTGAGTATATGTGGTGTTTGCTTTTCCATTCTTGTGATACTTCACTTAGAAGAATGGGCTCCAGCTCCATCCAGGTCAGTACAACAGGTATTAGCTCACTGTATTTTATGGCTGAGTAGTATTCCTTTATAAGCATTTTGATGTGAGTTTTTTGTTTGCCTTTTTTAGCATTGTTAGACATTGCAAAGAGAAGTGACATGATCTGATTTACATTTGAAGATCAATCTGGCTGCTTTGGGAGGGATGGGTTAGAGGTAAATAGAAGTGATATCAAGACAATAGTTAGAGTCTTTCCTCCTGCTCCCCCTCCACCTCCTCCTCTCTTTCTCTCTCTCTCTGCCCACAAGAGAACTCTAGAGCTCAGGAAGCTAGAGACTTCAGAGGAAAAAGGCAACTTGTTCAGATCTTGAGTCTAAGTGCAAGATTCCAGGATCCAAGAAAACAAACATGTTAAACAGAAATGAGAAGAGTAGTCCAGAAACCACCCCCCTACTTTCCAAAATTCCACCAGAGGCCCTGGCCAATGCAACACAGTATCAAAACAAAAGAGGTATAACAATGGAAAGCAAGAGTCATATTTATCATTATTTGTGGATAATATGGTTATCTATATAGAAAATTCATGAAAATCTATAGACATATATTAATATAATTAAGAAAATTTATCAAATCTGTTAGAAACAAAAAAATGCTATATTTATATACCAACAAATAGAAAATAAATTAGGAAAAATATAAAATTTACAATTACAACCAACAATTAGATATCTAGCATGAAACTTACAAAGGTGTGGAAATGTTTATGGAGAAAATTACAAATGGTTATTGGAGGACATAAAAGAGTAACTGTTCACAGCCAGCCTGGCTGACATAGACAGATACCATCTCTACAAAACAATTTTTCAAAATTAGACAGGTGTGGTAGTGTGTGCCTATAGTCCTAGCTACTCAGGAGGCTGAGGCATGAGGATCACTTAAGCTCAGGAAATTCAAGGCTTCATTGAGCTGGGATCATGCCACCACACTCCAGCATGGATATGGAGACCCAGTCTCAAAATTAAAAAATAGACAAAGAATAACTGAATAAATGGAGAGAGTATCCTTAGAAGACTCAATATCACAAAGATATCTCCACCTCAATTATCATTCAAAACAATTACAACCAAAAGCCCAAATGTTAATTTATTATGGGTCTTGATAAATCAATTCTTAAATTACCATGACAAAAATTTGAAATAGAAAGAAGAATGAAAGAGGACTAGTTCCATCAAATATTAGGATTTGTTCTGGTGCTTTATTGATATTTAATGTAGTCTTAGTGCAGTGATGAACTAATTGATTAACAAGTAGCACTAGATCCACACATAAAAAGGACTTGGTACACAGCAGAGGTGGCATTAAAAATTACTGAAAAAGTGTAAAGCTTGACCAGTGGGGCCAAGTTGGCAATAATGAGGTTATCTAGATGGGAGAAAGGAACTTTGAATCCCTGCCCCTCACCATCCACCAAAAGCAACTCCAGTAGAAAGTAAATTTTCTACAACTTTTACAAAGAAAATATGTCTTATTTGTTTTCTGAGCCCTTATTTCTCTCTCTCTCTCTCTCTCTCTCTCTCTCTCTCTCTCTCTCTCTCTCTCTCCCTCTCTCTTTTAAATCTTGTTTCTATATATGAACAGAATCTGGGACGAGTTTAGAATTCTTCAATCCCAGCTTTTTACTCTCAAAATTCCACAGACACTGCCCCATATTTTTTCTAATATTTCTTGTAAGGGAAAAGAAATCTGGAATTAGATAGGTTTCTTGTTCTTCCTAGTTAGCTACCCCTTCTCCTTTTTTATGTTTGCTATATTCTTTCTTCCTTTTTATGCTTAAAAAGAAACTGCCAATATATCCTTAGGTGTTTCTCTGTATCCATTAATGCTCTATAATGAATGCACTATAGCCTTTCCAAGGAATCAACAATTCTTTGGCTCAGGAAAAGTTCTTCTTCTATATCTCTGACTTCTGCTTCCTTCTTTTCCTTCTGGGATCTTTCCAGAGACTAATTAGATCTGTTCTATCTCTGTCCTTATCTCCTGTTCCGAGCAGCTTCTTTCTCATCACCACCATGTTTCCTACCTTTTCCCCTCCATTCCAGGCAATTCTGGTTGGTTTGTACTCTGCATCACTTATTTGACTCTTGTTTCAGAGTTTATAAAATAATACTGAATTCAGTCTTTACATTCCTCTCCCTTATGTCATTAAGCTTCCTTTATTCAACTGCCTACTTTTGGCCATCTCTTTTTCTGTTTAAATCTTACTATCCCATTTCTCATCTCTGGTTTCACAGAACTCCTAATTTCTTTTTTCTATTCTTTTTTTTTTTTTTTTTTTTGAGACAGAGTCTCACTTTGTTGCCTAGGCTAGAGTGCCGTGGCATCAGCCTAGCTCACAGGAACCTCAAACTCCTGAGCTCAAGCAATCCTACTGCCTCAGCCTCCCGAGTAGCTGGGACTACAGATATGCACCACCATGCCTGGCTAATTTTTGCTATGTATATTTTCAGTTGTCTAGCTAATTTCTTTCTATTTTTAGTAGAGATTGGGGTCTCGCTCTTGCTCAGGCTGGTCTCAAACTCCTGACCTCAAATGATCCATCTACTTCAGCCTCCCAGAGTGCTAGGATTACAGGCATGAGCCACCATGCCCGGCCATAATTCCTAATTTCTTAAAATTAGAAGAAGACATTCTTGACACTGTCCTGTTTTTGTATTATTCCCTTTGCACATCACGCGCATTTTCTCAATATTTTATCATCAGGAATCTTTCATAGAGCTGGCGTTGGAGCTGTTGGGGTTGTTCTCCTTTCAGTGGTGAGCTGTGTGCGCAGGGCTGGTGTTTTTCCATAAATATTTTGAGTAAATTGTCTTTGCTTCCCCTCCTGGTTCCCCTTGGTTGTTCTTGGCTTCTCAGATCTGAAACCGGAGGGTTTCTCTGGTGTAAATTTGCAACACTCTCATTGTGACTGAGCAGCCAGAGGAGAGTTGGGAGGAAGCCGGAGCTGTGAGTAGCACTCACAGGAATATTTATCTCTGCAGCAATTATTTCCATGCACCGCGAAGCTGCTGTTCCCAGCTCAATGTTTTGTGTCCACTTTGTGTTTGGCACAGCCTCTGCTCCATTATGAACCTTGGCTAGGTCCGGGCTCCTTCCTGGTGCTATGGCTCGACACATAAAGGAAATGCCCCTACAACCCAGAAAGGGTTTTCTTTGATGTAGCAGCTCTGTGAATCTTAGGTCTTCCCACTGCTGCTGGTTTCATAAGCTTCTGATCTTTGCTACTGTGGGCCACAGAGTCCGGGCACTGAGCACAGCAGCCTCTCTCGCCTCCAACACATTCTACTCCGAATTAGGAAAGCTTAATGATTCCCCCAGGGTATCCTCTAAATTCCTTCTTTATGCACAAGCCCTCGCCATTTTGATCTCTTTCTTCTCCAGGTGGACACCTTTCTAATCCTGGACGCTCAAAGTGCTGCTGTGACAAAATGATGCTGATCCGTGAAGTTCAAGTGAAGCCCAGATTATGAGGTCACCAATCTGCCACATGGCCTACCCATGCACCCAGTTCTTACCCCTCCAGATAAGTGCAGGAGCTCCTCCTTTATTTCATTCCAGATGATAACGTTCTTTCTTAGGAAGGAATCATGAGGGGAATTTTTGGTGTTTTCCTCAGTTGGATGTCTTCTGTGCTACATCCACCAAAACTTTTGCAAAATTTCCCATAATTTTGTTGGGCCATTTCCCTAGCTTTCAGTTCCTCCCTGCCGACTGCATACCTTTGTTATTTCTTTAATAGGGACTTGGCTAGAGATGGAGTGGAGAGTTTAAAAAGAGTTTAAGAGGAGATAGATGTCTATGCTCACACTGATGTCAAATCCAAATATCTGGGAGTCAGGTTTAGTAGATACACCTTGCTGTACTTTTGCCTGTGCCTTATCTGTTAAAAGGTACCCTTGTTTGCAGGGAAGGATCTATCTGTGCGTGGCACATGGTCCAAGTCAACAATAGTCAGTGTTTTCAGGTGAACACATATAGGAGTGCCCTCCTCTCAATATGTAGACTCATTGAATAAACACAAAAGAGCTACCAAACTTAGGGGGGAAAATACCATTTGGACCCCATTGAGGCAAATATTTTTTTTTCTTTTTTTACTGTAAGTTTAGCTAGCATATGAAACAAGTACTTCTGTATTTAAAAGAAAACAGAGAAATACATGAATGATGGATTAATTAATTGATTTAAAAACTATTAAAATGTGTGCCAAACTAAAAGCTAAGGTAACAAATTAGTGAAGATCTTTACTGTCCTCCTGTGATATTTCTTTGTTGGGAGGTGGAGAGGTCAGAGATGGTATTAAAGTAACCTACATTGTTTTTGTGGTTTAAAATTATTCTACAACTCATGAAAATCAGCAAGAAAACATCAAATAACCCTATTAAAAAGTGGGCAAAGGACTTGAACAAAAACTTTTCTAAAGAAGACAGAAGAATGGCCAAAAAGCATATGAAAAAATGTTCAACGTCTCTAATCATCAGGGAAATGCAAATCAAAACCACAATGAGATATCACTTAACTCCTGTAAGAATGGCCTTTATCAAAAAGTCTCCAAACAATAAATGCTGGCATGGTTGCGGAGAGAGAGGAACACTCCTACACTGCTGGTGGGACTGCAAACTAGTTCAACCTCTGTGGAAAGCAATATGGGGATACCTTAAAGCGATACAAGTGAATCTACCATTTGATCCAGCAATCCCATTGCTGGGCATCTACCCAAAAGATCCAGTGACACTCTACAAAAAAGACACCTGCACTCGAATGTTTATAGTAGCACAATTCATAATTGCAAGGCTGTGGAAACAGCCCAAGTGTCCATCAATCCAAGAATGGATTAATAAAATGTGGTATATGTATACCATGGAGTACTATTCAGCTCTAAGAAACAATGGTGATATAGCACATCTTATATTTTCCTGGTTAGAGCTGGAACCCATACTACTAAGTGAAGTATCCCAAGAATGGAAAAACAAGCACCAGATATATTCTCCAGCAAACTGGTATTAACTGAGCAGCACCTAAGTGGACACATAGGTACTACAGTAATAGGGTATTGGGCAGGTGGGAGGGGGGAGGGGGGTGGGTATATACATATATAATGAGTGAGATGTGCACCATCTGGGGGATGGTCATGCTGGAGACTCAGACTTGTGGGGGGAGGGGGGAATGGGCATTTATTGAAACTTTAAAATTTGTACCCCCATAATATGCCAAAATAAAAAATATAGCTAAATGGAAAAAAAAGAATAAAATTGTTCTACAATAAGCAAGTATATATAACTTTAATAAACATAAAACAGGGAGGAAAGTAGAAATGAGGGATCTTATTGCTTGTCTAACAGAGTGACCCTATTGCTGATAACATAAAGAGGAGACCTATTTTCATTTATTTCAAGGCTAAATCTTCATCCTGATTTTATCCTCCCTCCCTTCCTGTGGTGTTCTAGCAGCACGGAAAAATAAATTTGGGAACGGGTAGAAAAGTCTGTTATGAATCTTTAGTCAATTTGACCAGGAACCTAGAGAAACAGTCAATCTTAACAGAGAAGTAATGAATTCATGTATAAAACCCACACAAAGAAGCAGAGTGATTTCCACAAGTGGCAGAACCACACCAAGGGATGTGTCATTTGCTGTCTGAACTGGTTTTCATCTTTCTTTTGGCTCTCATCTCCCATTTGATATATTGAATATGGAGGAATGGGAGTTTATTCTAGGAAAAAGCAGTACATTGCAGAATGAAGACAGTAGGAAACATCTGATGGGGCTGTCATTCATGTGATCAGTAAAATATGATATTTTTGTGCATATACTAGGATTTGGGACAGTGGTGAAAGTCTTACACTTTTACTTTTTCTAATGCAGGAATATGACATTAGTGTATCCAAGAAGCATGCATGTTATTATAGTCTATCCTGATGTTTTGATGGTTTAAAAAAAAATTGATTCTTCCTTCTCCTGGACCAAAATAAGCGATCATCAGAATGGTAGTTTAGCTTCTGCTGAAACATTAGAGTTTCTCATTTGGGCTTCGTTTAAAACCCTCCTTCCTTTAGAAAATGTTTTCCACTGTGCTGTTAGGAAAAATGTGATCATCCCTTTTCATCTTTCGTGGCCCAGGCTGTGGGAAGCCAGTGCTCAGAAGAAGCAGGCCCTGTCCACCTCCCATCATGCAAACAGCTCTAGCGACGATTATTTATTTACAACAGCTAATACAATTGGTAGTAACGACTTCATAGGCAACCTCTAAGTGCAGGCAAGATGAAAAATTTACTAAATTGGAGAATAAAAATGCATAAGAAAATGTACAGAATCAATATTTCATGGCCTTTGCTTTACCTAGCTGTTCACAAATCTATTTCCGAGCTCGCATTAAAATTTAAAGCAACGTCATGCGACAAGTTCAAGCCCTGGGTTATTTCACGTTAGTTTAGCTTTAGAGGAGTTTTGTTGTTGCCTGTTTCATAAAGTCATGAGGATCAGAGGAGGGGGGACATTTAGGAAACCATTTAGCCAGGTGACTCTGTTTTTACTTTTCTTCGGACAGGAAGACAATATCGTGTCTGACACACATAGAAAAAGATTGGTTCAGTCATTCTGCCTCTGAAAGGTGGGAAACCTGCAGCCTCAAGGCCACATGTGGCCCTCCAGATTTCCAAGTGTGGCCCCTTGGCCAAATCCAAACTTCAAATCTGGATTCGGTCAAAAGGCCACAGTCAAGGATCCAGAAGGCCACATGTGAAATGATACCATAGGAGAAAACATCTAGAAGAGCAGATGTTGATGCAATATTGACACTTGAGGCAGAACACTTCTTTATGGTGTAAGTTTTGAGTAAATGCAGATAGAAAAACAGCAACTAACAGCTCCCTTCTCAATGCTTTAACAACATCTTAAAGAGATATTGAGATAAAGGGATAGATAGTTCATAAAAATCTACAAAACATTACAGCTATTATAGTGCTTTTTCTAGTATTTTGTTTATTTACTTGTTTTGTTGTTCCCATTACACAAAGAATTTGGAGTCTATACAGCATCAATCATTTCAATGATTTACCATTATTCTAAGGTCCCTAAACTGTTTTAATTGATTACTTTGCTGAGACATGGGTTTGGATTGCAAATGGGCTACAGGTGGAATGAGAGAAAGAAGTAAAATCCTGTCGCTAGAGAGAAAGACCTTATAACTGCCCAGAAACTGCTTCTCAGTGAAGCTTTGATCTACACAGAGTGATATTTAAGTATGTGAAGATTTGTGCAGATTCTGTGTCGATATCAAGGGATTATCTTACATATAGATGCCTTGTATCCTACATAGAATCCCAAACTTGTCTAGTGCACAGATGAGTATCACTAAGCAAAAGCACAAGGTGTCCAACAGCCTTTATGTTTTGGTCGTAAATTATTTCTAATCCCTCATGGTTCAAAACCTATTACTTACATTGTTTTAGTGACCTCCTCCCATTTTTATTGTCTTTTAATCATGCCTGAAAAAAGATGTTTTAAGAAAGGCTAGAAATCCATTCAAAGATCTAGAATGAAAACTATTCATACAATAATCCCAATGCAATTTCTATTGCTAATCACGTTTCCTGCAATTTAAAGCTCAAACCAATGTCATAAGTAAAAGGTGAGTGGCAGGGCTGGTAAGGCTACTACAAAAGTAGCAGAAGTGCCTTTTGAGGCATTTTGTCCTATGTATATTCGAGTTATTGCACAAATGGGTTTATAGCATGTGAGGGAAGGGCAACAGACATTTGAGGGAGTTCCTTACTGAAGATCTTTCTTTTTTTAGCAAAATAGGAAACAACTGTATCTGCAAGTGGAGAAGGTGAAGAGAAGGTATTCCAAAGCCTTGCTTCCTAAAGTATAGTCCTTGGACCAGGAGCTCTGCAGAAACTGGGGCCAATTAGAAAAGCAGACTTACCTGCCCAGCCCAGACCTCTCAATCAGAATCTTCTTTTTTCCCCCTTATCTACTTAACAGAGGAATAATTTATATACAATAAATAGCATCCATTTAATGTGTGAAATCTGATGAATTTCGCTAGCTGTCTACATCCATGAAGCCACCATGGCAATCAAAACACAGAAATGTTTCATCACCCCAGATGATGCCTTGCCTCTCTGCACACTCCTTCCTTCCCTCTGCCCTGGCCCCAGGTCTGCTCTCTATCACTATAGATTGGTTTACATTTTCCATAAATGGAATCATATAGTATGCCCTCCCTTGGGTCTGGCTTCTTTTACTCAGAATAATGCTTTTGAGATGCACCCACATTGCTAGGTGTATCCATAGTTCATTTCTTTTATTGCTGGGTAATATTCCATTTTGTGCACATGTTACCTTTTGTTTCTGCATTCATCAGTTGATGACGGCTATTTGGATTGCTTCCAGATTTTGACTACTATGAATAAAGCTGCTATAAATATTCATATTGGAGTCTTTATGAAGACATATTTCCATTTCTTTTGGGTACACCTCTGGGAGTGGGACAGATGGATCATATCCTATGGTATGTTTAACATTTTAGTAAACTTCCAAACAGTTTTCCAAAGTGGTCTTACCATTCTTCATCTCCACTAGCAGTGTATGTAAATTCAAATTGAACCCCATTCTCAACAACACTTGGTATTATTAATCACTTTCATCTAGGTTATTCCAGTCATTGATGGTGATACCTCTTTGGGGTTTTAATTTGCAATTTTCTCCTGGCTAATGATGTTGAAAGAATCTGCATTTTAACAAGATCCTCATGTTGTTTATATACACAGTAAAGTTTGGGATGCATTATCATAAAGAACTTGAGCGGACGGAGAAGGCTGAGCATAAGTGGATGGCGGAAGGGATATAACAGCCAGAAACCATGGTAAGCTCAGGGATGGGTAATGACCATGCCTCAGTAGAGACTCCAATCCACATGTTTGGGTACTTTTTTCAGCAGCATAAGAACAGACTTGCCATGTGGGAGCCATCTATAATTTATTTGTTTCTTAGACTAGCATTTTTCTTCTTCTTTTGGAAACCAGAGATAGTTTAGACAAAAGAAAACCAAAATTTCCCATAAATCCATCCTGTATGTGTAATCATTTTTAGCTACAGTTGCAATGCTTTATTCATTTCTTATTGCTGCTGTCACCATTTATCGTATACTAATTTATCCTTCAGTTCTAGAGGTCAGAGACTAAAAATGGATCCTTTGGGACTAAAGTGAAGGTGTTGGCAAGGCTGGGTTCCTTCTGGAGGGGCCAGGGGAAGATCCCTTTCTTGCCTTTCCAGCTTCTAGTGGGTTGCCCACAGTCCTTGGCTCACCGCCCCTTCCAGCAGTGGCAGCACTCCAACCTCTGTGTCT